AAGTTATCACTGAGTAGCAAGCCACGTTACATTTTACCTTGCAGTAACTTGTTTGCGTGTTCTTGTTCTCTTAGGATGTTTACAGATACGCTATGGGGAATTTAGCTGCTTTAGTCCTGACTTTCTGTTCTGTGCCTGAGTTACTGTTGCTTTTCTGTGTTGGGGAAGGCAGAAGTGAACCTCTATATATAGGCACTATAGCTGGTTCAGTTATGTGTGAGTTTAACCATGCCTTGGTTGAAAGCTTCAGCAAAACAAGAGGGCTTTGTGTTGAAGCAGCATGTGTTTCCTTCTGACAGTTTTGCTGGAAAGGAGAGATTTTTGGGGAGGAGGAGGAGAGAAGAAGGGAAACAGCAATAAGATTAGCTAGAGCTTTGCATTTCAGAACCAACTATTGGATGCTTCTTTAAGCTTCCCTGTACATAATTTCAATTCCATATAAGTTATATCAAGTTTCCTGTAGCTTTTCTTCCTCTGAGAACTATCTTTTTCTTGTCTGAAGATGTGACTCATAAATTCTGTTCAGCTGAGAGAGCACTTGCTGGAAATTTTATGAGATTCATTACCTGATATAAAAAGATTTGTCTAATATTTTCAAGCAGGTCATGATCAAGTAGATATTGATATCAGCTGTGTTGGAAGCCGATCTGTGTGTAGTCCACTGTCTCTGTTAATTTAAAATTTGTAAATACTGAACTTCTTTGCTCTATAAACTCAGAATTAATAAAAGCATGGAAAAATAATCTTTTTCAGGAAGTTCTCATACTTTCAAACTAAACTAAGATTTGTTTCAAATTCTGAGTTAAGTGATTTATATATACGGAACTATTTAAAATGTAGCATCAGAAGTCTATCGGTATACAAAGATAAGTCATAAAACATTATCCTGTTGTGTGTTCAAATTTATAACTCTTTATCTTCAATGTACTACTTGTATTTGGTTTTCTAGTGTATTTTAAAGATGCAGGTTTGAGAAACTGAGTTAAATTCTCCTGTAGCATAAGCTAAAACTTGGAGTAATTCGGTAAAGGTTGTAGGCCATGTATTTTTATTTATGATGCACGTGCCTGAGACATGGCGCAAAGTATATTGAGTCTGTTGGATGAAAAATTAAAAAAATTTGTAAAACTTTTTTTTAAGACAGACCAAGCTGAAAAGGCCCCTGAGAAATACAGATCTCTTTCCCCCAGCGCGCAACAGGGGAGAGGCAATTTACTTCCTGCAATATAACACTGCATGATGGTGATGCAACTGATTACTTTGCTGTTGAATTGAAGGAAATACTGTTACATAAAAATTTGCAGAATAAGAATTTCTTATTTATATAACAAGCACTTTTTCATCTTTGATTGATGTTGGTGGAGAGAAGAGCTATCAGCTGTTTTGTCATTTGACAAAACTGTTGAAGTACGAGAAATCATGGCAATAATAATCACAGAGTGGTTGAGATTGGAAGGGACCTCTGGAGGTCGTCTGGTCCAATCTCCCTGCTCAAGCAGGGCCACCTACAGCCGGTTGCCCAGGATTGTGTCCAGACGGCTTTTGAATATCTCCAAGGACAGAGACTCCACCAACCCTCTGGGCAACCTGTGCCAGTGCTCGGTCACCCTCCCAGTGAAAAAGTGTTCCCCTGTGTTTCAGTTTGTGCCCATGGCCTCTGGGCCTGTCACTGGGCACCACTGAGCAGAGCCTGGCTCCCTCCTCTTTGCACCCTCCCTTCAGGTATTTATATACACTGGTAAGGTCCCCCCTGAGCCTCCTTCTTCTCCAGGCTGAACAGCCCCAGCTCTCCCGGCTTCTCCTTCGGTCTCTAGTTGCTAGTTTTTAATTATATTTTTTATTATTTTTTTAATTCTTTATAAAATCAGTGTGGACACACATTGTTAAAACTTAACTTGAAAATTTATTACTGTCCTGAGATAAATGTAGAAATCAGGGAAAGGGGAACACAGTAGAATTGAAATATGAAGAAAACTGAGATAATACAATGCTTGAGAATTAAGACAGGTATTACCTGTACACTTTAAGTAGTCCCTTAGTGAAGACAGCCATTTAAGGACTAGATTGATATAATTTTGCTTGATGTCAGAGAGTATAACAGAAAGCTGACTTACTGAGGAGAATGGAAGAATCATTGTAATGCAAGTTAGTTGATACACTTTGGGAAATGCAGTGCTGCAACATTGAGCATATGGAGTTAATTTGATGCTGTTGATGCTTTTCGATTTCTGCTGAAGCCAGCTGGGGTCTTGAGCTGGAAGAAGTACCTCTGTGCCCTGCTTTTCCCTTAGCTTTTTTATTTTGGGAAGCTGTGGTAGCTCAAGCACACTGCAGCACGTAGGTAGGGAGCCAGGCTGGGTTTGATGCTTTCCCCAAGGTGACATGCTCGTGGGCCTCTGTGTTCTCTGCAGCAGCATTCAAATGGCTTTGTGCAGGGCCAGCTTAATTCTTTCAAACTCGACTAATTTGTGTACTGCCTGAGACTGTCTGTGCAGTAAGCACACCACAAAAGCAGTATGTTATTGGTGTGGCTCTCCATGAGATCAGCTCGAGTCCATCTGTATCTTAACCCAATTCAGTAAGTGTGTTATTTCTGTGCTAGGGTGCAAGATATATCTATTTTTTACTTGGAATTTCATCTTTCTCGTGAGCTTCTGCTGTGTGCCTGTCATGGGAGCAAGAGTTGTAACTTTTTACTGCAATGTATCTGCAAAGTATTTGTTTTACATATCTGGTGATTGGCTGCTGTTTTGCTTTTTTTTTTCTGCTGTCCTTGGCCAGCAAGTTAGTTTTCTCCTAGACTTTTACTATCTCCAAAAAAGGTTGTATCTTCTTATGATATGTGTGATCTGCCTGCCTGCAACTGTTTCTTCCTACATATAACTGTGTAATTCATTTAAAGCCTGGCTTAAACCAAGAAAGATTTTGTCCCTGGTATGTGGAATATCCAGTGGAAAGCTGCTCTGATTTTGACTGAGAAGGGTTCACTTTGCACTGCATCTTGTTCCATATGGATGCTAATGAAACCCAAATTTCCAGTAGCCAATTAGTTCTCTGATCAGTTTAAAATGTGGTTAGCCAGCTATTTCACTCATCACTTTAAAATATGGCAACAGTCTTGTTTCAGGGTTATGGATATTTTTCAGTACAAGTGAAACTTAGAGATGCAAAGTGAATGTCTTGAACAAGCGTAGTATCATTATTACTTCTCTTTGAGTTTCAAGGAAAAAGATGGAGTTCTTGGTCTCCATATGCTCTGTTTGGTTAATTGTTAGTACATGATGATATGATTTCCTGTGATCTTAGAGAAAATGTGACGACTTATTGGCTGCTTTACCAACTAGTAATTTTTAGAATCAATTTAGATGTTTGCAAAGTAAATTTTAAATAGCTTCTAAAAGATTTGTTCAATTTTTTTTTCTTGAGCCTTTCTCAAGAAGCTGTATCCCTTGGTTTGTTTACATTTTTAGCTGATTTGCAATGTTATGCTCATGAAGAGATTATTTAATAATCTATTTTTGTAGAAGACTGCAGCTTATTTCTGCTTAATTTGTGTACTGTGAAACTATGGCTAATATGATCCCTTTTGGTGTCCCTTTAGGTAAGCTGGTAAAAATAAACTCTTTTAATCATCAGAGTGAATGAAACTTAACCTCTTTCATACTGTATTTGTCAGTGGAAGGGGATGTATCAATTTGAGTTTTTTTTTTTTTTTTTTTTACATTTTCTTCCTTATATAGTTATACTCAGCTTTCAGTGAAAGCTGAATATGCCTAGGGAACAGAAGCTGTCAGCAGAAATCTTTATGTCATACAGGTGACAGTTCTGGGAATAAGAAGGGAATTAAAATTCTCCTCTGGAATGAAGCAATATTTTAAAAGATTGGATAAGTTAATAAGCAAAACGTGGTAGTGAACCTGATTTTTAACTTCACAAATGAAATTAAAAACATGGCATTTTTCAACAAATGGATTAAAAAACTTCTTAGCTTTGAGTATTGAATATGAATCTTAAGCTTTCTGATTTTGTTAATCCTTTTCCAGTAGTAGAGGTAAGAGATAAGAACTATATGCAGGCTCTCCTTTACTATCCCAATCTGTCTTCTGGCATATCACTAGTATGAGCTATGAAAAGCCTAAGCCTATTTCAGTTGGTTTTATGCACCTGTGGCACTCTCTTGTTCCATATTGCAGTGATATGCTTTCTGGAGTTGTTTATACCTGCTTGTCAAAACTGTTCTTGTGATGTTGCTTTACCATTTCTGAAGCATTAAACTGACAGCAATTATTTTTTCACTATTCACTAGGAAAGCTTTTAGCAAAAAGGGATTGCTGATTAAAAAGAGAAGTGTTTTATTTCAGAATACTAGAGGAAGAAGTGTAAAATCCATGCACAGAAGACTGTTGGTAAGAATGTGCATATCATGACAGCAAAATGGCTTCACACTGCTGTGTCACATTGAGTTTTTTTATAGAAAAGAAAGAGAATTCAGCCAAAGCATACTTCTCCTTTTCAGCGCTTTCCCCTTGCAAGATTCTGCTTTGATTATTCTTTACCAAATAACTTAAACCTAAGATTTTATTTTTAAAAAAAAATAAAATAAAATTAAGAGATACATATGTTTTAAAAAAATTTTTTTTGCTGTTGTTTGTTTTCCCCTTTCAGTTCAGAAAGTAGTTCTCTTTTCTGAATGCATTAGTTTTCCACTCAGTCTACTGAGTGGAACTATTTGTACAACTATTCTGAAGTACAGCTATTTGTACTTCAGAAAAATGGTGCTATTTCACATCCCTCAGGTGAGCTATGGGACTGAGCAGAGCCCTTCCCTTGCCAATCCCTCTCCTTCAGACAGCCCTGCTCATTTTCCTGGTGAATGAGGCTGTTGCATTGCCCATAGAGAGGTACCGTTTTCACCGTCTGATCCTTTGCTGAGCAGATATATCCTTTATCGAAGCGTAAAATTTGAGGTTATAAGATGTTATTCCGTAATTTTCTGGATGATGGCATTAGTCTTGGGAGATAAACCTCTGCTGATGACTGCCGATGAAGATAGTGGTAAGGAGTTGAGGGAACAGATACGGTTACCCCCATGGTGACATTTTCGGTAGGTGAAGCAACAGAGCAGGCTTGCCACTGTTGAGCTTTGGGCAGTCTTCAGTACAGCCCTGCCAGGCAGCGCGTGTTACCACAACTACTGTTGGTGATATATCTGGCAGGCTTGCCAGCCCTCACCTTCCTGGGCGATATTTTCAGTTAACTGTCTCATTTAGCTTTCTCTTCTCGCGTTGTTATCCCATGGCTGATACCTTAGTAGGCTATATCTAAAATCCCTCTTTGCTGTTTAAAGCTGCTATCTGAGTTCCTGTGTGGTGCTTGGCTCTGTTCCTTGAGAAGCTTCAATAGGTTGTGCTATAGCAGCTCCAAAATTTATCTCACCTAGTCCCAACAGGGCAAGATCCAGGTCAGTAGGCCTGCCGTGCCATTTGGTAGAAGGAACAGGTCCCTTTGCTGCCCGCTCTCCCCTCAGCCTTGGCTCCACAGCAGCCGTGCCTCGGGACAGAGCCGGCAGGGCAGGCCGGGGCCCTGTGGCACTGCAGGCTTTGCTGTATGAGTGCAAGGGAGCGGAGCTGCCATGTGGATCTCGCCCAGCCCGGCTGTGATGGAAGCCCGTCTTTCCAGATTCGTAGCAGAAAGAAGTAGCTGCAGGTGCACCGAAGGCGGAGAGAGCAGCTCCTGCATCGCGTCCTCCCCTGCTGCTTGAAACAGCTGCTTCACCATGTGCCTGTGACTGGGCTTTCCCCTTAGCTGGGGCTCGGCAGGGCAGAACCTTAGCACTGATGGTTGAATCATTGATGCCTCTGGAGCCAGTTTGGCCAGGAGATGTCTCTGCTGAAGTGCTTCGGCACTGGTGGCCTCTTTACCTTAACAGCAGGAACCACTTCTATAGGCACACCAGATATTTTAAAGGCAGTATCCTATAGCAAAGTAGTGGTAGAGGTCTTGTTACATTATTCAAGCTGACCCTTTACTTTGAGTTGTGTTGTGGAAGCTATAATTTCCCAACTTGATTGAGTTCTGCAATATGTATCATCTAGTGGGACACTCAACTGAGAAGATACTGTTCAGCCTGTGTGTATACAGTCGTCTCTGTTACTGTTTCATTTCCTTCCCTTCAGCATTTATTTGGATAGCTGTACGCAGCTCTTTGTAGATTCAGGTTCCACCAATGTGATACATAAAGGCAGTTTCATCTTAAAGCTTAGCTTCAGATGGAACACTGTGCACATAATGGCTTCTAGCACCCAAATTGACTTGGTTTAGTAATGACAGCATGCTTGGGGGGTGATGATAACTGAGGCAGGTACTTTTGTAATGGGAAGGAGGATCAGCGTTACTGGGAGAAGGAAATAATGGTAGCGGGAAACAGGCCATGAGACTGGTGTTCCTTGGCAGGTTTTTTTTCATTTGGTTTAATCAATCTGAATCCAGATACTTGTGTCTCTTTATAATGCCAACTTGTATGTAAAGAGTGTGCCAGATGTTTGCTGTTACCACAAACACTGTAATGCTAAGGAGAAATCTAAATGGTGAATGTAGAAGTTTCAACCCTACAAATTGCTGCTGTGCATGTAGATGTGGTGCTTAAGGCAGTTTCTGCGTGTTAAATCATAAAAACCTTTGGTTTTATTTAGTTTCTATAAGGACTGTTAAGATTGTAAAACTGATTGATATTCACTGACTGGGAATTGTGAATTGTTGGATTTATAGCTGCTGGTATGATCTTAAAGGGCTTCCACTGTGTGCATCCTGATAGAGACTTTGGTTACCCCATGCTTTTTTCTAGGCAACTGTTCTTTTTCCAAGAAGTTTCTGGCTGCTTGGCAAATGAGTTTGTGTTTTATGGCTGGTTTTGTTTTATCAGTTGTGTGGGGAGAGTCTTTGCCGCTAAAGTGTGCCACTAGTCACCCGAAAAAAGTTTTGGTGCTTCAATAAGTATGATGTGGTTGACTTTACCTGAAAATTTGAGCATTGTTTCTCTGATGTTACCTGCTTCATAAGAGAAATAGGAAATTGATCTGTGAACGTGGCAAGACTGCTGCAGGAAACAGGCAGAGTTGTATTTCTACTTTTACCATAGTGATGCTATACATGAGACTGGGTCACTTTTCTTAAACATCAGCTTTTCATTGAGATCTCTGTTTGAATGTTGTCTGTTTCTTTAACTCGAGTCTTGAATTTGATTTCAAAAAATGATCTTGCAGCTCCCAATGAAATAAATTGGAGCAGTACTTACTGAACAAGGTGTTACATGTTTTGAAAAGTCAGCTGTGAAGACTTTTATACTATGCATGCGAAATTTGTGTTTACTTTTGAACTTAACCAGTCTAAATATGGTTTCCTGTGTATGAAATCTGGTTTATTTTCACAACAGTTCATTTTACAAAGATGCCATAAAAAGATGAGTTTGTACTATGCTGCTAAGCACTATAGATCAGCCTAGAGAGAATTATTAAATCAGAATAATGTCTGGGAAAAATGCAGTAGATAAGACCAGAACCTGCAAATGAACAGTGAGTTTTAAAACTAAATACTGACTAGAGACTCATTGAGGAGCGACAGTTTGTGTCATTGCCTGGATGACAAAGTATAGTCATGGGAAAAAAACCTGTGGTTAAATATAAACTATATACTATCATATACTTTATGTCCATAAACCAGGCAAGTTAGGGTTGCCAGGCACTTTAGTTTTGGTACTGTGTAACTCGGCTAGAGTTGGCACATTTGGTATTCTCTATAGCTTTTCAGGTGAGTGTAGATACTTTAATCAGTCTTAATGCAGGCGTTCTTATTTCAGTCTGGTGCTGGCACGTATGCAGAGAGGGTGTCACAAGACCTTAAGGGACAGCTTAGCCTTAAATGTACAAAAAAGAAAGTCATTAATAGATTCTTCTTTTTTTGACATAATGGGGAATTGGGAGGGGATTTAAATACTTTCTGATGTTAGTCACGACAGAATTTGACTGATAAGGATGAAATTGCTTTTATTTCCACTGACAGTTATGAGATTTTTTTTGACAGCCCTAAGGAATTTGTTCTTTGTTAATATGACAACAGCTCTAACATAATTAAAATTATTTCTAAAGTGCCATGTAGAAATTAATTTCAAATGGAGGGGAAAAATACTAAGTTACTTAATATAATTTCTGCATGTCCAATTGTGCTAGAAACGTGTTCTATTTATTTTGGGTTCTGTCACCGAGTAATTTCTTTGCCCATTTTTCTAATGAAAAGATGAATATGTGCTTCAGTAGACTTGAAATTATCAAAATTGCATTTTGTTTGTTTGGGTTGTTGGGGGTTTTTTGTTTGTTTTTTTATTTTTCCTCCCTCTGAAATGAAAAATGTCACGGTCAGATCAAAACCGTATGCTTGTTACTGAATTTCTTGAAATTTTTTTATTAACAATTTAATTCCAAAGTGTGAATATTATACCTGCAATAGCGTGAACTGTACTTGCTCTGCTTTAATTTTGCTGGGTAGTGCATTCCTTAGTAAATGCTATATTAAGTGGGTATGTACTGAAGTTCATGGCTAGATCAGGAGATTTGTAGAAAAGTATTTGGTCACATTAACATGCCTTAAAATACTAAAAAAGGGAAAAGGAAGTAACCTATTTGGGACAGTTACAGGTTTCTGTAAAATGAGAACAGCGCTGCTTGAAACTTGTTGCAGAACAATTTGTATTTGTTTGGTTTCTTGTGCGTGCTCACCTGGATGTCCCAGCAAAGGTCCCTGGCCCTTGTGGGAATGGGGAAGCGACACCTACACTGCACTCCTCCTCATCTGCTGTGAGCAGGGTAGAGAGAAATGCCGCCTTTTGGGGCGAGCAAGGGCAAGTTTCTTGCAGTGTCTGTTCATTGAACTTGTTGTGATGCTCTATTTTTGTCAAATTTACTGACATACTCTTTACTTAGAGACAGACTTTTAGAAAAATGCAGTAAAATTTCAGTCTTGCAGAACACTTACTTAGCCTTTGATTTATAATTTCTGAAATAAGATGTTTTGACTTTCTTTATCAGAGCCAGTCAGGTCTTCAGGATTTTTTCTGATTTTTTTTTTTTTTTTCATCCCCCTTAAGATCGCGCCGGAAGCATCAGTACTCTTGATTCCTTAGATTTTGCAAGATACTCTGATGATGGCAATAGAGAAACAGACGAAAGAGTAGCAGGTAAGTTGTTTTTTTTTTTGTATGATTTAGGAATCAATGCTAACTTTACCATTTGACTTATTGTTTCTAGCATAAGTATATTTAAATGAACATTTGTGAAGATGCCAAGACTTCACTGTGGTGGTTTAGTCACTTCATGATATAACTATGTTTCAGACACTTCTACAATAATTACTGTAAATATTCAGGCAAGTGTACTTCTGTGTGATTCCAGATGTCACCAGGGTAGAAGCGAGCAGTATACTTGAAAATTGTACCCAGTTTTTGACAATAGAACAGTATCTTGATATTGCCTACCGACTACTACAGTTTAGCTGAAACATATGCTAAAATATTCTATGTAGTAGTCTGTGACTACTACATGGGTGATAGCTTTCTGATGTAAAGATCTATAGCGAGCCATCTTTTAAATATAACTTACACATAGATCAAACAAGCATTACCAAACCCAGAGTAAATTTAGGGCTTTCTCAGTTCCATAAGACTTCTTTGCTACAAATCTTAATTGTAGTACTTGTCTTCCCTCCCATTTGATTTATTGATTGTATAAGATTGTTTCAAAGAAGTGACAGGGTTTTTTGCCTCTTGCAGTTGTTCTGAACTTAGGCACCTGTGGCATTTCTAATTTCAGGATTTATGATTATCTCACCAAAGGCAGACTGCTTTTCTCTTATATTTGAAATTATTATAGTAATCTCCTTTGCATGTGAGCTGAGTTTCTCTAGTCTAGGCTTTTTTCTAAGTTCAAATGCTAAGTTATTCACAGCTTCTATAGAGAAACCCCTAAAAATTCTCTAGAAGCTTCTATAGAACTCTGTTTACTTCTTGTCAATTAATACTGTTTTAGTATCAAGAGCACATGAAGGTTGTCCACGCTGTGACCTTTGTTCATGTAGTTTAGCTTTAGGAAACCTGAAATGATGCAAGCTGCTATGTCTCTGTTCCATGCTGTCACCTCTGCTCTCAACTACCACACTTCGTCCTAACAGAAACATTGTCACGTTCTTAAGCAGAGAAAAGGCTGGCGAAACGTAGTTCTGTAAAGGATCTTGCTTCTGAAATTTCCTGTCTCGGTCAGTCTGAAATGACAACCAGCATTGACCGAGAGAGAAGAAACAAAAAGTGTTGGGAAAAATGTCATTTTTCTTACCCAGCCAGTGTTTCTGAGGTAAAGGACTGGATTAAATTCATGAACATGAAGCAAATTCAGGTGTTTTGGTGCTCTGGTCTGAAACTATAGGTACTTACTGTTTTTCGATTTATATAGAAACTTCCAGATTCTTGTTACTATCTAATTACTGTCTTTCTCAATATACATAGTCAGTTTCAAGGAGGCAGTAGTTGTAAATATGCAGCTAATCTTCTAAACAAAGTGTGTTTAAGGAACCCAAGTATTTCTGAATTGTTTCCTGGAATACAAGGAAGGAACAAGTAAATTCTGAGTATTTTAATTTTTTCATCATCTTGGTAGATTTTTCCTGTTTTCTAATCAATATTTCTTGGCAATAGTGTTACTGAGAAAGCTAGTTTGATCTTTACTTGGACTTACCTAGTAACTGAATTGGATTAGAGATGCTTACAGAAGACCAGTCAGAGTTGACATCCAGTAGTCATTAATCTTTTGACAGGACATTAATGACAAAATATTGATTGCTTCCAGTATGAAACTGACTTATCTTAAAATTAAATATTAAATTTAATTAAGTAAATCCTAAAATAGAAGAGATTTTTGAAGATTACACTAAGTTAATTGACCACTGTCACATCTAATAGACAAGCAAATCATATGGCAGGATGTTTACATTGCATTTCTGTGTTCCTTTAGAGACGTTTTCCAAAGAATTGTTATAAAGTGATGTAAGAACTTGAACAAAGCAAGACCGGATATTATTTCTGGAAGTTTGAAAAGACTCAAAAGTTTTCAAAAATATCCTATTTCTACTTAAAATTCTGATTCAATTATAATTGCTTAAAATATTTTGCCTCAGTTCTGTTTAAAACCATTTACCTGAGTGATAAACTTTGGAAAACTGATAAGTATTTAATTTGCACATTAAAAAACCCATGTCAGTAGAAATTTCAAAAACTTTTCATATCCAGTTCTTCCTTTGAACAAACTCTGGCTGTAGCTTCTGCTTTTGAAGTAGTTCTGAGCTGCACATGCACTTTGAATCATAACTGGAAGTCCATCCGGCTTATTTCTTCTCATACTCTTTCTTCCCAGCAAAGAGCTTTGATGCTTAGGAGATAAAAATGTAATCTGTTGTGAAAGCTTGAGGCCATGATCTGATAGTTGTAATTTTCTTTTGATAGTTCTCGGAGTAAGTTTTGAATAGTTTGTTTTTGTAAGTGCCTTTCTTGTGCTGTTATCTTTTGGGGTTTTTTTTTACTGTTTGAACAGAAGCCATGATTTCCATATCAATTCCGTAGTCAAATGAAGAGTAGGAAATAAACGAACATCAGTCACTGAAAGAAACTGGTCCTGAGTCAGAAGGACTTTAAAACTGAAGTTATAACATATCCAGTTATGAATACTTTTATATGACAATGCTAGAAAGCAGCAAATCTAAAAATGTACCTGTATACTATCTAAAGCCATCATATTTCTATTTTGCCATTACGGATGGCGTTAGACTTAGCTGCCATATTTTTTATTTTACCAGTCCAAAAATTCCTGGAAATAACTGTCAAGACTCTTGTTTGAAATGGATTTCAGTATTTCAAATCTGTTAGCCCAGTTCATTCCATCTGGCGTTAGAATCAAAATTTGACCTAGAAGCAAACATGGTTTTAAGAGTTTGTGTGAACAGAGTTGGGCAATCTGATTGAAGGAGGCTAAGTGAATCTCTTCTATAATATTATCATCAGCTTGACTGAAAAGATGCAAGTCACAAAAGCCAGTCAGGATGTGGATAAGCGAGACAAAACTAACTGCAATTTAGAAAACAGCAATTTTCTTTCTTATCTACCTGATCTTAACATAAATACAGACAGTTGTGTAACAAGTTGGATAATACATTTGTAATCCACAAAGAGTTTCAAAAAAATACATGCATCCTTAGAGCTTGCAATTTACAAGATGGAAACAAACTTGTTCTCTAAGACTAGTAAGTCTTGAATGTAAATTCATGTATTAAGTGCTGAAACCATGCTAAGATAAAGTCTACTGAAGGATTTATTAGGCTTAGTAAACCCCAAATATTCATTTTGATAAAACAACTAGAGAATGGAAAACCTATGCCATTCCTGTGGAATAAGAGTACGCCTAACTTGAAGTCAAATACCCACAGCGTTTGGTGTAAATGAGTCATCTGACATTCAATCTAAGGAACTGAATGTTCTGCCACATCTTAAATTGACCGTGTGCACAAGTATGTTTGTGATCTAAAACCCCTACTTTACATAATTCAAATTATTTAGTATTACTAACCTCCCTTTGACATCTACTATTCTGATAATTTTAAAAACGCAATGCTGTGTTTTCAGTGATAATAAAATTAATTCTCATAATCAAACTCCATTTCAATCATTTATGTTCTCAGATCTCCCTGCATCAGCATTGATTTCTGGCTAGACTATGTATATCTGATTAGCAGAATAAAATACTGTCCCTGTCAGGATTTGAAGGGAGGAGACAACTTCAAAACCCACTTGATTATATTTGAGGATGTAATTTATCTAGACTTAGGTTCACAGTTTCTGCTTTTTACAGAACCTTTTTGTTTATGTTTTTTTAATAAGTAGTTACCTGTGTGCAATCAAAATCAGAGGATAATCTTAAAAACAACAAAACCAAAACACAAAAGGCATCTATGATACAACAATCACTTGCTAACATTGTGTGTTCAATTTGTTCATCCTGGAAGTGGGTCTGGTTTTGTCTTCCCATTTCCTGTCTTAAGCCCTGTTAAGCAGTTGTAAGCCTCCTTAATTTCCTTCCAGGTCGATAGTCTTCAGGGGTTGAACTTGAAGATGAGTCTGTTGTAGTTCAGGTCATCTCTGTAGCTGGTCCTATCTCATTGACTTAAAAGCATTAATGAGCCTAATGAGTCAAGTGTTGGCTTCCCATTGTTAGAATGCTAACAAGTTCTCTGTTAGCTTGCTCATGAACTCTCATGTTGATCGTAATTTTTGTAGCTTGATAGTCATCTCATGCTGTAGTACAACTTTCTGGTTCAAGTCTATTTGTCTTACAGCCTGCGGTGTTTCACACTGACTGTAAATATGGTCACTCCTTTTCTTCTTAGGACTTGTATCAGGGAAGTGGGAATTAGGAAACCTCAGGTCTTGAAGTATGTTGTGATAGTGACTTAATTGGTAACTTTAGTCAGAGAATTTAAATTTCTTCTGATTGACTCAAAATGTATGCACAAATCCATCAAATGTAATGGGAAGTCATACATGTTTTAGAGGGCATAATTTAGGACATCTAGGCTTCTACATTTACTTTACAAGGAGGAGGAACTCGAAATGACAGTTAAGAAACGAACAACAACAAAACTTGTAACAATATGTCCAAATTTGAGGAAAGCCAGGAAAGCACAGAGGCCCTTGATACTTCAGAGGAGAACTATTTTTCAAAGAAAATGCCAGAATGCCATATAGTGGCTTCACAACATAAAAACTACCTTTCTACTGTTGTCTGAAGTACTTCATACTGAAGTATGCAAAAGTCTGACAAGATAAGTCATATGTAGAATGTAAAATTCTAGTGTAATTGGAAAAAATATTGCTTGTACAAAAGCAAGTACTGAAAATTTTTAGAAGTACTGTTTATTTCTTCAATTTGGCCTTGACCCAACAAGACTGCCGCTCATGCAGATATTAACTTGTTCAATATGCCAAATTGCAGGTGGTTCTTTAGAGCTAATGTCTCAAACTATGGTTCAATAACTTATCAAGTCATTAACAAGTGTGAGTGAATGGAATAAGATCCTTGAGAAAGCTTCGTTTTTAAATTTCAAAGCTGAGCAGATAAGCTACCCACTCCTGTTACGCATGTCTCTTTTAAGGTGTATTGGATTAGCTGCATGAAAACTGAAATATTTGAAAATCGCTAATCTGAAGATCTTGGTCTAATGCTTAGTTGCTTGCTTGAAATATTCAGCTGTTAAGTAAGTCTAAGTAATTTATTTATTTTTTTTTTAACACAATGGTAGCTGTAGTGTTTTGAGTTCTTTATAAAAAGAAAAAGCAAGAGAGCCACTTGGATTCAGAACAGTTATCTGCCCTAAGGCAAAACAGATTGTTCAGAGATGCCCTTTCCTTGTAGGAAGATTAACCAAACTCAGAGCTCTAAATTTCTGTTCTGTGCTTTCCTGATATAGAGGAGAATCAATTTGGTTCTTTCCTAGGATGTCTGCAGAAAAACTCTTCTATGCATTGTTCTTAAGGAGTGTCAGCTCCTTTTATCAAGTGCTGTAATGAGTTATACATGTTATCAGTTCAGTCAAGCATGTAGTTAAACTTTAGCTGGCTTTATCAATGCTTTCGAAGGCTTAACTTCTCTAAGGTCCATAGGCTTTACATAAGAAGGAGGAGGGAGAGAAAGATCAGGTCATTTATTTTAGAAGTCAGTACTTGACAATGGTTACAAAGAAAGGGGTTAGAAGTTGCTTTTTTATTTAAGAGAATGTCGTATCATCGACAAATGGGGATTTCCAGTGTTGATTTCATTAGTAAAATGTTGAGTTAAAAATCATTACGTATTTTGGCAGAAAATTGTATTTCAATATAGCTTCTAAAATAAGGAGTTTTTAATCATAATTTAAAATTTGATTGAATTATGTTGTAGCTATTTACAAATATTTATGCTTATATAAAAAAACTACAAGCAAACTTCTTCAAATAAAAGCTAAATTTATGACTTAGATGCATCAAGGTTTGTATGGTAACAATTATAATGGTGGCATTAGTAAGACTAGGAGAGGAGGTGCAACTGTAACAATGCTGTGTTGTAGTAGTATTAAGTGGCTGTTGTGACATGCTGCAAAGTGACAACTTCTGAAATATGCTATGTCCAGAATCTTCCACTGTATACAGAGAAACATGCAGCAGAGTAATCTACTTTTAAGGTTGAATGGGTAAATTCCTAACAGCTTCTTAAGAATTTTCAGCATCATGACAGTTGACTAAAAATTAATTCTTGCCGTCTGACATGGGTTTGTCTGACATGAGTTTTTTGGCTTTCTATGCCTTCAGACATGTCTTATTCCTATTTTCCTTAATGGGACTCCTGAGTTTTTCTAGTTTGTGTTGTTTTTCTAATTTTTTTAATTTATATCATTCTAGTGCAGGGCACTCCTGATCTGCAACTGTTCTGGTCTTTGAAAATAAAATGTTAACACATAGTCATTTCCATCAGAAGAATTACTTAATTTGAACTCTTTGCAATTTTGAAAAATTAACAAATTAGCAGCTTACAACTTAGAATCGTGACTGTGAATTAGTAACTCAGCTGCAAGGAAGTGCTAAAATTATTAGATACTTCACTACAAGAGCATTTTCTAACTTTGTTGCACAGAAGTATTTGCAGATCAGCATTGCTGAATACTAGAGAGATTTTACATATTTTATTCATCGTATCCTCAGTTGCGCTTTTGTATTGCTGCAGTAAAATTCTGTGCATCAAACAAGTTACTTTCATGTAGCAAATGTGGTGTACTGTAGTTACTCCTTCAGTTTTTATGGACAAATGCAAACTGAGTGAATCTTTTTTTCCATGCGTGCTAATTATCGAAAGATTCTTAGTAACAGATGTTCAAAAGAGGAAACCATTTTATTTGCAGTCTTCAGTAGCATTTCTTACAAGGAAGAGCCAGTGCAGTGTTTCTGCCATGCATTGTCCTCTGTGTAAATATGTCAAAATTGTTTCCAGGCAATGATTAAAAATCTCATTAATATTTTCTTATTAAAAGCAGCTACAACATTTTTAGTTTTGCATGGGAATGAAGTAAATGTTAGATAATCTATTTAGAATAATTTAACACTTCAACATGGTAGCTGTTCTGTGCTTGTCTCTTCTAGTTAAGTACAAGAATCCTTCTTTCTGGTAACTGTATATTTAAGGATGATTAGATTAATCTGAGAATTAATGAAATGCATGTAATCATCTGGTAATTCCTTAAGTAGGTTCCCTTAGATGTTCTAACTGTAAATGGCTATAAAAACAACATTAACTATATGCTTTGAAAAGTTACAGGTTTTTAAAATTTGAAGTGACAGTATACGTATGACCTCAGCATCAAAACACATGAAATTCCAGTGCAAGCAAAGCACTGCTGGCCCTTTTTGGAGGAAACATTGAAACATGAGAGATGGGTAACAGTGACCAGGGGGGTGGAGAGGTGAAGCAGGTGATAATGGCAGTTAGAATTACCTTTTTTTGAATCTCTAAAGCTGACTCTAGATCACTGAAAGTGTTGTATAGTCTAGAATCACTGGAAGCTTTTAAGACTAATGGAGCAAAGATATTTTTGTTTCAAGCTTCTCTAAGTACTGTAGGAGAGATTTTTTTTTATAGGAATACTTTGCTTTTTCTTTTGTCTTGTGCATCTCTTAAACACATTCAATTAAATTCAAAATCTTAATCAAGTATTCCTAAAACTCCTCTGTTTTTAAGTAGAGATTTAAAACGAGATTATTCTTAGTAGTAAAATAAAGTATGTGTCAAGTTCTGCCATTTAAACTACTAAAATCTCAGTGTATGATTTTATTTTAAAAAAAATGTGTAGTCTCAGTGGGACAGTACATTCATTTCATGGGTTAAGCTTTGCTACATGGAGACAGCTTCCTCTGCTGCCAGTGTGTATTTGCTTCATTTAGATCTGTCCTCTGATTGCCTGCATACTCCCCTTGCCCCAAGAAATCAAAACATTTGACAGTATCAGCTGATTATAAGAGTGGGGAAGAAATAACAAGTGTTTCCCAGTAATATGCAAAGTTAAAAGCAAGTGGGGAAGGAGTAAAGAAAACACACACACAAAAAACCCAAACCCCAAAACCCTACAGCGAGTCCTTGTCAGACAGCTTGAAATTTTTATTTAGCTGATTTAAGGCCAATGAAACTATGGAAAATATTCACCAGTTTGCTTTCAGACCAACTCTGCTGCATGTGTTCATAAGTTCCATAAAGATTGCATGCTTTCTGTTTAATACAAACTGTATATTTTTTTTCACACCCATCCTTGCTTTTTATATTTTATTTTTGTTTCCCTTGCCTTGGTTGGATGCCTGTGTGTGTTTAATCCAAATCCCTGTCCAGTCCTGGAGTTTGAACTACGGAAAGCCAAGGAGACCATACAGGCCCTCCGAGCCAACCTGACTCAGGCTGCAGGTGGTGTACATAAACCTTTTCTTAAGTCTCTACTTTGAACAATGTAGAAGTAGCTGAGCTCATCCTGTGTGAAAGAGTAAAATTTAGTTACTTTTTTTTCCTCCCCAGAAAATGAAGTTCCTTTGCAGGAACGAAAAAATTATAAATCAAGTCCTGAAATTCAGGTAGGTGGCTGATGATAACTGAGCTTTGCATGGACTTTAAGATAGATGAGCTTCCATAGTTGGGGAGGAAGATGAACCAAAGATGTAGTGTATTCTTTTCTTTTTTTCCAGGAGCCAATCAGACCTCTTGAGAAAAGAGCTCTAAACTTCCTAGTTAATGAATTTTTATTGAAGAATAGTTATAAGCTTACATCAATAACATTTTCAGATGAAAATCATGATCAGGTAAAGTTTTCTTCTGTTTTTTTTTTTTTTCCTACATGCCTACTTTCCATATTCTGATCTTGTCATAAACTCAAGTGAACTTAAATGATATTTCCTGTGCATGTAGTTCACTTCATACATGTGAGTATTCTAAGAGTCAAATATATTAGTGAACATTTTCATATATAAAGCATGGTGTGAAAACACAGCACTTTGAGGAGTATTTTCCCAATATTTTTGTGAAGGAGATTGAATGCATGCGTTCTTTAAGGGAAGTGAAACAAGAAGAAAAATACTGTGAGTTATAGGTACTTACACACTTTCCTGGATTCTGATGGACATTCTTTCCGTTAAACTCAAGAATCTGAATGCAGTAAAATTTTGAACATAATCTTTTCATTAAATCATACTGAGTTGATTTGTGCAGGATATACAATATATTCATTGTTTGTCATCTCCTGGGCATATATATATATGTATGAGTATGCTTAATCATACCGTGGCATTGAATACAGTTTTGGAGAAGCTCTTGGTAATAAGGTGTTATCTTAGATGTTTCCAAACATAGCTATGCTTTGATGCATTTTTCTTAAGATGATCAGTTTTATGTCTCTATTGGCTTGCATTTCATTGGAAAAATTAAAATTTCTTCAAATGTTTGGTAGGTTCTAGTTACATTCTGACTGTTACTGAGTGAACAAAACACCCAGTAACATCTGCACTCAATATATACTTGGCATGAAACTGGAATATTGCCGGAAGAATTAAATACTGAATTCAACATTAGATATTGAATTTCAGCCAGTTCTATCTATAACTAATACTCCTGTATTTTTCCTACAAATCATATTCTGATCTGTAAAAAAAAAAATAAAAAATTGCTAAATAAAATTTCTGGATCATCCACTTAAGATTTGAGTTTAACAGTGCTGGGTTTCCTAGAAATACCTGTAAGGATACAACCCCAAAAAGAGACAAGATGAATAATTACGCTTACTTTTTATGTGTTCTCAACTGAAAATGTTTTATGTTGTGAGACAATTAGCAAAAAAAAACCTGTGAAAGTTCTTAATTCTGACAAGTAAATATAAAACATACTACAATTAACATAGAGTGCACATTTTTTCCTAGATTGTTCACATCATTCTTTCAGAAAATAATCTTTCTTTGAATAGGTGTATGTAAACAGACTGTGGAAAAATAGTGAAAACTCTGAACCGTAGGAAAAAAGTTTTAAAAAATAAAAAAAAGTGATTTAATGTCATTAAAGAGACCATCGCAACTCCTTTGTAACAGTGCACATGCTTATTTATATATATGGAATAATCTTGTAATACTGGGATGGTAACATATCAATGAGAGAAGAAAGGACTTACAGTGATGGTTTGAGACAGGAGGCCTTAGTATAGTTTACATCTCTACACAATTAATACAATTATGTCCAAATTTCACTGAGAATATGCACGCCGTCTGTCAGTCATCTACAGAGCTATTTGACTACTTCTGGAAAATTATACCTGTATTTGTGAATGAGATGGGAACAAAACAATACCCCTATCAGTAGAAAGCCTTCTGTCAACTGCACTTGCTTGTCCTAGAATTTGATCAATGTTATATCTGACTCTAAAAAGTATTTACGTCTTGGCTCACAATTTCTTTTTTTGTATGTGTTTCTGGAAGGTCCTCTCTTTAGTACATTACCTAGAGCTGCCTCTAGGGTGAAACTGCTTTGGTCATGAAATGAGCCTTTTTCTACATTTGTTTTTTGCTATCTGATTTAAGCTTTCATCTCCTTTACTGCAGTGAAATCTTAATGTGATTATTTTGCTGTTATATGATCTGCAGTCAAATGAGGAAGAGAGATGAAAATAAAAGCAAGTATATTGTATGCTTTAGTTTCTTTTATTCCTTTGAAGGATTTTGAACTTTGGGATGATGTAGGATTGAACATTCCAAAACCTCCTGACCTGTTACAACTCTATCGTGACTTTGGAAACCATCATGTTGCTGCGAGAGATGTGGTGGATGTATCAGTTGGTGTAGAAGATGATGAGTTAGAGGCTGCTACTCCTATACTTGGGGAAGTCCCTGTATTTGAAACAACACCACAGTCAATAGAAGTAAGAGATTGTACAGAAGAAATGTTTCAACTGTTTGCTGTACTATTTAACTTCAATGTACTAAACTCTTTTGTTTCTGTCTTGTATTTAGCAATGTTTAATAGTGCAAAAATTAGAAGATCAAATTAGTGTGTTAAACAGTGAGAAATGGTCTTTGATGGAACAAATCCAAAGACTTGAGAGGTATGTACTTACCAATCTGCTCAACTGCTGATAAATGTTGGAGTAACTTCTGAATGTTTTTCTAGCACATATATGAAAACATACAACTTAACACTTGCGAAATCATTAGGAGTTCTTCAGACTAGGGCAGTCTTTCCTTTTAAATGCATGGTATTTGATTTAGAAAAAGGAAGAGACTTCAAACTGAATATTTCCCTTTTATTACTACCTCATTTAATTTTGTAATCAGTTTTGTTCTTTCAATGCTACTTCTTCATTTACTTTTTTGAAAACAGACTCAGTTATGACGTGCTTTCAGTCAGCTTTATTTCAGTCCTTCATACTATGGTATGTACAGCTTGCAAACGCTGTTAGAAATATGTTTGTTTTAATGACTTATTTCAACACAGTTTTTCTTTCTACAGAGCAAGACTAGTAGAAATGAGAGTATCTTTAACAACAACAAAAAATGAGACTTTAAAGTTTGGTCAAAACACAGGATTCTGTAAGCTATAAGATACCTTTCCCCTTAAGAGATGCACTAATACAACATATGGGCAAGTGCATAATTTTTAAGTGGCTTTATTGACGTGAGTAGTTACCATTTCAAAGCCAGGTGCGATAGTATATATTAATTCACCACTGTAGTGTATCAAGTTTTACATCCCAGATAGAGTTCTGTCTCATGACAATTTGTGTCTCAGTGCTCAGATTTCCGCCAGAGGCAGATAACGCTGTTGTTATTCACTTATTTCATTGATTCACTCACTGTGAGTGCAACATTTTTCCTACTACTAATTAGTGACTAAAGAACTCGGTTAAAGCAGTGTTCATTTGAACAGCTTGTGTGATGTAGGTTATTTCTATTAAAGGAATTTTTGAACATACTGGAGTTGAGGAGGGAACTCTTCGGTATGTTGTCCTTATTTCTGTGCTTCAGTCTTGTGAATCCAACAATCTTCTCATGAAAGTTACAAAAATGTTTCATTCTTTGCTTTTCCTTTTTTAGTGAAATAGATTTTCTAAAGAACGAAAACTTTACTGTGTCAACAGTTTATGGTGTAGCTCCCCATCATTCTGTAAAACAAGTGCCTCTCACAGTCTCAGAGGACAATGGACGGTACTTGGATATCAAGAGCTCTGAGAATGACAATAAACATGGAAACACTGAGGAAACAAGCCTTTCTTTATCAGCTGAAGTGGATTCAAGAACTAAAGATGACACGCTAAATTCTGTGCCCTGTAAAGAAACAGAGAAACTGTCCTCTTGCACCCCGTCAACTAAAGCCGCAGTCCACTTTGATAAACCTAATAGGTTGGTGATAAGTTTTAAACTGGAATGCTTTAATTAAAAATTCTTGTAAAGTGGATAGATATTTTTCTAACAGTAAAATTCTGCAGAATTCGTAGATCATTTTGGTTTTGAATGCAAATGAAAGATTTAACATACCTTTAGGGTACGATGTTGGTATTTTCATATTGTTCCTACCCTTTTTTGGAAGGAGTACATTTGATGAACATTTTTAGTATTAAATTTGAAGGTTTCTTTTCACCTCCTACCTGTTTCTAAAACCAGGCCTGTTCCTTGCAGCAACAACAACAAAAAAAGCTAAAATCAAAATGGTGAATGGGAAGACAGGATATTTCCATTCCCTTTTAAATTTCAATTTCATAATGAAATTTTTTCTGTTCTGTTTGAAGAGTGGTTGGAAATTTTTTTCGTTTTCCTATGTAGCTGTGTATGACTCAGAGTATCTGAGAGAACTATATGATTTTTTTTTTTTTAAATGCTCAGGCTATCTGATGCCATTCTGCTTTTTGAGATTTGAATTTGGGGTAAGTCTTCACTGGGTAACTAAGACTCTTCTAACTAAAATAGGGTATTCATGTTGTGTTCTTACATGGAAACTGACTCTGTGTATCTGAGTATTCTTGAGAAAACCTCTCTAATCTACACAGTCTTTTTAAGTGTTACAGTGAAGAGGGGAAGTAACATGTTCATTAAGTAATAGGTAAACCACTGTGTAGCCATCAGGAGTAACACAGACCACAAATTTAAGTAGGGTATGTACAACTTCTAAAATTACCGTTGTGAATGAACATGCCCAAGTAGCTTACCTTGTGGTCTTCCCATTGCTATTCCTAGGGGAGCAGGTAGCCATTCTACTTTGTATTTTGCCACTTCCCTTAGCGTTCTTTTGCTGGTGTTGATACAGTAGTATATTTCTAGAATTATCTTACAGCTGAAAATACCAAGCAGAAATCTGTGTGATATTCTGTGTCGATGGAAAGTCAATACAAGCTGCAGGGGGAAGAAGAAGAAAAAAAGAGTTGCTACCTCTGCTAGTAATTAATTTTTCTTGCAAACCCTGAGTATGTGGATTTCATGAACTTCTTGCACTGAATCCTATGGGCAGGGGCACTTTTTCAGTGGTGTCTTAACTTTAGAATTGAACAGGAGGAAAGATTTCTGAATATAGTACCTTTGAGTCTTACTATAAATTTCTTCTCTAGAGTTGAATGTACTAGTGTTTAACAGGAAAGTAAAACTTAGCTTAGATTTTTCTGGAAAATTTGCAGTGGTTCCATTTAAGCTTTCCAGATTGTTTTTTTTTAAGTTCTTTCATATCCTAGCTGAATATCTAGACTATGTAATAATCAAACCTTATAGTTATTGTACATCGATAGCTGTAAACTTGTCTGCTTGCTTTCATGTGTGGCTTGTTGCAAGTTCCTTTTTGCTCGGAGTAATTGGGAGTGCTGGGAGGCATTAAATGCATGAATATTAGATTGATGGTTTGGGGATAGTGAGGATGGGTATCAAAATAGGATGAGATCACTGAGTGAGGAAGGAACTGTGAGTATCTCCAGTGGGATTTCTGACAGTAGCCTCTAGAAAAACGTAATTTGTTTTGCTGCTCACAGCTCTTGTAAATATAACCGCACCTGGATTTATTTGAAAAATAGTTGAATAAAGCCTTGAATCTCCATTGATTTAACTTCAGAAGTCCCCTCAAATGCAGTTCACTGCAGAAATAAGTAATGCATGTGTAATATGTAGCTATTTTTGTACTGAGTTTTGAGCTTAACATGTCAGTGAAGGATCAAAGGAAACCAGATTTGATACAGTGTTTTATAGATCCATATCACTAAATTTTCTTCCTGGATTATGCACTTGGATTGTAATAATACATTATTTTTTTTTTTATTAAACATTATATTATTTGTTAAGTATTTTGAGATCTGTGGGAGAAGCAGCATGATAGAGAAGTGCTAGATAATTATTTATTTCCGTCCAGGGGTGGATATTTGTAGAAGACAATTACTACAATTTATTCAGAATATATTAAGAGGTATATTAAAAACTAAGATTCTATGCTAAAAGGCAAAATTGTTACTGCTGTAGCTGGGGAGTGGATTCTTGGCATAAATCTTGCCCAGATGGGAAGAAAGGGTAGAAGAGCAAGTGACCCTGCTTTGTGTAACTGCACTGAGAGCAGCTCTCCGTGTGTGCCCACAAATGAGGACATGGCCATCATTGGAAAAATGCCTTGTCTAACAGATTGCAGTAGAAGGCACTAGCAGCAGTTTAGGTAGACTGCACCACATGTATTTATTCAACTCGTTTTAGGTGTCTGGTATTTTGCACCAAATACAAGGTGTTTTCTGTATATAGTAGTCACTCCTGACTTTTTCAGTAAATTGACTCTTTTGTCCCAGTGTTACATGAAACAGAATAATAGTGCTTGGGTTTTGTATGCATCAAACTTTCTTATATTTTAACATCTTCACTGCTGGCCTCTGGCCCTTGAAAAGACTTGCCACTGACTTGTGTGCAAGACGCCTGGGTCTGTTATCACTTCTGTCCAGCAAAGCCATCAAAGATTTTACTAGACTTCATCAAGGAGAAGCTTTCTTGACTCTAAACAGCCATCAATCGTAATGGGATCCATGCTGTCCAGAGCTTGCTGTTAATTTACCCACAGGGAAATTCAGTGACATATTGTCATACTTAGTTTTTAGTCTCTGCAAAATGAGGATAGAACTTTGCCCTTATGTAGGATTTTAATTAAGGTTTTAAGTGGGGAAGGATCTGATGTCCTGCAGAATGAACACAGAGGTGAAGGACAGCATGGGCAAAGGGCTGGCCAAGGCCTTGCCACTCTCTGAATGTTAGGCTGCTGCTTTGCAATACTTGCTCCTGTTCTCTCAGTGTAAATAAACCTTAAAACCCTGAGTAGAGGCTGTAAATCTGTCATACACTAATACTTTTACAGAATAAGGACTAACGTATTGTTAAACAGAGGTCCTTTACAACTCACTACCATCCGAGTAATTTAGTAACTTTTTTAAAGTGAACCCTTGCACAAAACCAAGCTGATTGGAATTAAAACAAACTTACTGTTTGTCAAGAAATAAACTTGACTGTAAGTAATAAATTCTTAGTTCTTGTATTTTGTAAATAGTCAGAAGAGGAAAACTACTCTGGTATATTTATCTGTATCCTCCTGGATTAGTTTGAACAACTATAAGTAGGAACTTAGATTCTTAATGTGGTGGTTTTTTTTTTTTTATTAGAGAAGGATGAATGATAATGTATTCGCTATAAGTAGTGTGATGTTTCAATCTATTAGATAAAAATATGTATGTTCATACACATAATTGCATGTACATAGCATTTTATGCGCTCAGATGCAAAAAATAGCATTTTTAAGATTTGAAAGGTGATACCACTTTCCACATAAGAAATGGGAATTACCTTCTTCCTTAAGCTCATACAGTGTCATTAAAGGATTCAAACAGATGATGATATAGGGTGAGATGCTTTCTGTGCACGTTTTGGAAGACAAAAGTTCATTTTTCTCTTTGAGCATGGTGAACGAGGCAATGTTAGATTAGCACCTAAGTACAGACCTCAGATAAGGCAGAAGGAGTTGTCATTACTGGGAAAAATAGGATGATGCTGCTTGCCTGTTTTATGTAATGGTCAGTTCAGTAATTATTTTCTGAGAACATTTCTGCCAAATTATCCTCCTCTGACAATGTTGTTTTGAGACTCTTATCAGGGTTTGATGCGTTTTCAGTAGCTCGGCTGTGTTGACTGGTGCTGTGCATGGCCATGAGGCAGGACTTCTATAGATACACGTATACTTTAGGGATTAGGCAGCAATTTAAAGTTAGTTTTGAGATTTTTGCTGTACATTTGAATCACACATTTAGATCCCAAAGTGGCAGTTGAGCAGTCTCTAATCCTGAAGCTCGTAAGTGACTGACTGCTCGAATGTTTTTATACAATGTGCAGAATCAGAGCATTAAGTGAAAATACTGGGGTTTGTGATTTCTGCCCCATCCCCCCCACACCCACCCCCTGAGTTTGCATAATTGTATGCTTCCTCTTGTATTGCTAAAGCTTCCTTTTCTTCAGGCTTTTTCTGTGAAGCAGTTTGAAGGATATTACATTTTTCGGAACTGAAAATAACTTCTTAATTAGGATACCCACCTTTTTTCTTGCTACAAACTAAACGCCCTAAAAGTCAAAGATAGCTTTAAACAAAACCTTCTGCAGTATACTTCACTTAAAACATGCTTTCTGAATGTCATTTTACTTAGCTGGTTAAACCAGAGTGAAAGGACTTGTTCAGTCACCTTTCTGATCTGTGCTTTTTTCCCCCCTCCCTTTTTGATCGTATTTCAGGAAATTGTCACCAGCTTTCCATCAAGCACTACTGTCTTTCTGTCGGATGTCAGCAGACAGCCGTTTGGGATCAGAGGTATATTTCCCAGTTGACATAAACTAGAAGATTCTTTATTCTGCATGACAGCAAGAGTTAAGCAAGCAAGAATTGCTTTGAAACAAAACTTACTAACATATATGGAGAGATAAATTTATGTGCATGAAACTTAAGAAATAAGGATATACTTTCAGATTTTAGCTTAAATATGAAACTTAGTGCCAGATATGTAATTACTGGGAAGTTTTGAGTCTCTGCAAGTGGATTCATGCTTTTTGAAGTTACTGCCAGATCAAAAACTTACTGTTTAATGTATGTGAGTAAACTAAGTATCTTCTGGTAAGTGATCAGCCTGCTGCAATTCTTGTTATTCCTTTGAAAGAATATTTTTCTGTTCCTGTGCTTAATTCCGGAAAAAAAAAAAAACAAAAACAAAAACCCAAACAAACCACCACACAAAAAAAACCCACCACCAAAAAAACCCCAAAACAACAAAACAAAGCAAGCTACTTGATTTTCTAGGTATCTCGGATTGCAGACAGTGAAAGAAGTGTCATGTTAATGTTGGGACGCTGCCTGCCTCATATTGTTCCTAATGTGCTGCTTGCGAAGCGAGAGGTGAGGAACCCTGAAATTTTACTTTTTATTTTTACCAGGATGTTTTCTTGTTCATTTTGAAGATGTTGTGTCTAATTTCATGAAAGTCTGTTACTTGCAATCATGTTCTTACTTTTGTGCATGCATCTCTGCTCCTAGAAAATGGTTTTACACCTCTGTCAGGTGAGTTCAGTAAACCTGCATGATATCCTAATATTTCTTCCTTTGCTTAAGGCACCCATTAGCATTCAGCAAGACTAACTGTTACTGTAGGTCCGTCTGTTTGCAATAGCACAAATGTGTTTGTTAGAGAAGACCGTGGTTAATATGTGTTATAAAGAACAGAGGATAGAAGTTCAAACATTAAATTTGGTTTATTTTGTCTATCAGTTTTAATAAGGATTACTGTTCAGGTTCTTTTGCAGCGCAATGTACATTAAAAAAAAAATTTACTGTATTTTTCTAGAAGCTCTGTGTATCAGCAAAAATAAGATTCATCAAAAACGCCCCTTCATAAGAAAATTAGCAATCTTGCTTACATGTTTTCCTTAAATTTAAAATGAAGCTAAATAAAATTATGAAAATGTATCATTTATTTTGAATGTAAATGAAGACGGTGTTTTGCATAATCATTCATACTATATAGTGTAGAAAAGGAAGACTGTGATTGAAGATGGGAAAAAAATGACTGGTTTTGTATTGCTTTGTGTAAATATTGCACATTACCAAATGTGTGAAAAATAAAAGTAAGAAAATATCAAACAAAAATTCAGTGACCTTATAGTTGACACTGAAATAAAGGGTTTGAAGTAGTATAGCTTGTTGAGTAAGCTTTAGTCCTTGTTGAGGGGACCTACAGTATGGTAGACTTAGTAGTGCATTTTGCTTAAATTTATTTTAAGCTTTGAAAAATCCTCAAGAAATTTGTACTGATCCTATAATCTAAAATGTTAGAACATACAAGTAATTATCAGCGGTTGACATGCTGAGTTTGAGTTGTACCACTTTTTGAAAGTCTCAAACTTTATATATTTTTTTTCTGAGGGGGTGGGGGTGTTAACTAGGTGCTCTGGAAACGGTTCTGTTAATAGTCTTTCAGAATAATTCTGTGACTGTTCCTGGATCAGTGCTTAATTTCTGATTTCTTATTTATTCCTTTCCTTCCTTCTGCTTGGCAGGATGTGGTATTTTGGCTTCTTTTCACAGCTTGTAGCATAATCTGTGTAATGAATTTAATATTTTTGTGACCTTTTAGACTATTTCCTACTTAATTTATTTTACAGTTGAAGTTACATTTGATTACGTGTATTTTTGCCTTAAACAAATCATCTGTTTCAATTTGACTGAAAAAGCCGAGAGAATTGTGTAACTGGATTGCATGGGATGCTTAATGTTCCGAGAATTGAAATTTGCTTTAAAAATAGCTTTTCCCAGTTACCACCCATTGCTATAACTATTGTAATGTTCTTTCAGATGTAGTCATGGAATTTGAAGGAAAACTTGGGTTGACCATCTGTTAGTATTTATTTAATATCAGTATTATGAAAAGCTAACCTAAGAACTAGGCTTTCTTCAACAAGATACAACTTCGGGTCTTGTCCAAAAACAACCTTAATCATGAGAAGAGTCTTAGCACAATTTTACAGAGAAGTAGTGTAAAAATACACAAAAAGTTCACTAATTTGGGAAAGAGATGTAACAGGTTCAGGTTATAATGCAAAGTGATCACCAGTCTGCTCTGAAAAGATACAGTGGTGGTATTTAAGATCTTACACCGTCAGTGTGTTAGACATGAGAATTAAACATAATTTTGTGATCACTCCCTAAGGTATCTATCTCTGTCCTTTAAGCATCCATCGTGTTGAAATTGGTCGCAAAATCTTAAGCTGAGAATATTGTGCTATACATTTTCATTTTGGAGAAACTGGGTTTGTGGAGGTTGACAGTCTCTCAGTAGGTATTGTCCTTTACCAGAGATTCAGAAACCATTTCAACAATGCTTTTAACCCTCTTAAGGTCAGTAGCAGCCTGCCTGACTTGGTAATAAGTGGTCCAGTAAATAGTACAGTTGATGTCTGAGTGACCAGTTAATGTCAGAATGTCTTGACACATTTCTGAAATTATTTTTGTTATTTTTGTGTATTGTGCAGCTTTAATTGTTCTTCAGTGTCTGTAGTTTTGGTTCTGATGGAAGAAAGAAGGAAAAAAACAGTATTGCATAGGGTGACTGAGGAGATAATTTTTGTTGTTTCGAAAAGAGCCATTCAACTCACTAAAATCAATAATGCATAATATAGGATAATTGCCTGAAAGCAATTAATAGTCATTAAAATTCCATGTATTAACATATAACTTTAATTTTGTTTGTATCCCAAGTGTCGAAGTTATCCCAACTACTTGAAAACACGTATGTCAATGTTTAGATTTGTACATGAATGCACTCAGAAACAAAGGAGATACTGCAAGCCAAGTAGTAATTGTAATGAACAGTAACAAAATGCTAAAAACTCTTCTCCAAAAAAACCCTCTTTGGCTGGGTATGCAGTCTGTGATAATGCTTCTTGCAGATGAGCAGCTTGAGTTCATAAAATTTCATCTGCATTGTAATCTGCTTCCTTAATGGTGTATTTGTCACTTAAAACTGAAACACTTTTAAGATTTAATTAAAAAAAAAAAAAAATTTTACCACCTTCTATTTGTCAAGAGGTATACCATAGAAAGATTCCTTTGGTTAAACTCTAATTAGAGAAAAGCAATCTTTTAAAATTTTTGCAATAACTAATCAGTGCAATACTGATTTCTCACCCTTTATAAGATGTAAAACTCAGTATCTTTTTGTCAGGTAACCAGATTAATCTTGTTTGTATGTACGACTTCCACGCTCTGCAGAATGTAGTCCTTTAGCAGAGTTCAGGCCAGAGTAAACTTTTTGCTTTAATACCAGGATCTTGTTACTCATGTTCTTAATCAAGAAACACTTCTCCTTAATTATTTATACGTTTTGTCTCACCTATTATTCCAGGGTTAGTTTCTGTAACTTTGGTTTGTGTTATGTAAACTTAGCAAAATCATTATAGTAATAGTTTACTAAATGTGCACCACTAAATTTTTATACTGAGGAACTGTTGTTTATATGAGTTCAGTATGTTAAGACTGGAGTTTTGCTTTTATTTCTTTATGAAATTGAAGCAAAGATAACACTGAATCTGCAAACTCTGGGTACCATTCTTGACTCTGCTAGAAGAAAGTAATGCTGTAGATTTAAAGTAGTTCATTCTCTGGCATTTTTTTGTAGGTAGCAGTCTCTCAAAACACAATAGAGCTGAATATCTTATTACAGATTTTCATCTCAATCTTACACTTTAAAAGCCCTAAAATATTGGCTTTGTTAAAAAATGTAAAAGAATCCTGTGTCAGAGCTCGGCAGTATGTTTAAGTGGCTGGTTTCAGTGGCTGTATCAAGCAGATGATATTCTGGTTGGATATGGATAAAGGTATGTAAGTTTGAGTTCCTGGGCATGAAAATAGTCAGCTATCAGTATCTCCTAAACGGCTATTTCTATTTCACAGAATAGGGGAGGATAGAAAATTTTAAATGAACAATTGAAATACTTTGTTACTTTGTAAAACTTAGATTGTGCTAGGCTTCATTAGATTGTGTTTCTGAAAAATAGGGATAGTTTTAACCACAGCCTGTTTGGTGGTTCTCTTCTGGTTTACATGGGGTGTTGGTTTTGGTTTGGGGGGCTTTTTTGTTTGGGCTGGGGTTGCCCCACACACACATGAGGGACATGATCATTTTTTAAAAGTCCTTTAACTCCCTTCTCTGGATATGAGGGGCTAGTTTAGTTTTCTTAGAATGAAATAGCTCGATCTCAGAGTATCCTTTTCATCTCAAGTCTGAAAGCTGATGTCTTTCAACATTGTGTCTTTAAACATAGCATAATTCATGGATGCAAGGAGTTGAATTTAATGTTTATGAATTGAATTGCCAATTGTTGCTAGTTTTATCACAGTAGTTTTATATGGAGGTTTCCAAATAAACAGTAGATATAAACAAAGAAGTACAAGTTTTTTTTCACACCCATATCTGCATTGATGTTTATGTAAAACCATCCCTTTGGGATCTACAAGGGGCTTGATTTAGTTCCTGAAATAATAGTCTCATCCTATGAAATGTAATTAGAGTTGTAATTTTAATATTAATGAGTAGCACAAAGTTCTGAGTCATGTATTAATCCTATGATTAAATATTTTTTTCATTTTAAAACAAAATATGAGTTCTGAACTTCAAATATGTTCTTGTGCAAGAGACTCTGTATCAGTAGTTTGTTAGTACCTGCAGCTATTTCAGTTGCTGCAGATAAGATTTTATTTACTGGTTGTCAGAGGCTAAGTTACAGAAGAATTTTAACATGACATTGGTTCACAATATAAGCATTGACTATTAGAGAAGATTAAAAGGGACACATTTACAAAATCGATCATAATGTCATCCTGGTTTATATATTATGTTGTTACCTGTTAGCCATATTACTACATTAATATTTGAAATAATAAAAAAGATCACTATCCGAAGCTATTGAAGTAACCAGTCTTACACTTAACACTAATTAAATTTATTCTTTGAGATAATTATTTTGCTAATGAACACTCCAACAGAAAGACACTAATTAGTAAGAGAAACTAAGATGTGGAAGAGTTTTGTCAGAATGTTTAATAAAAAAATGACAATGAAGGCAACAACACAGATAGAAAATTCCTCACTAACTTGTAAGAAAATTGTCAAGAAAATAGACAAATATTTGCTATAGGATGCATTTTATAAAAGCCCAAACTTTAGGATTTTGTTTTAATATGTAGGAGGAACACTTTTGCATATAGTTGAGATGATACCGGTTACCATTAAAAAGCCACCTTCTTTTGACCATAATGAAGAGCTGCTCCATGTGCCAATGGAAATGTTGCCTTTATTGACAACTTGAATCGGCTCGAATAGTGAATCCTGTTCAAAGGTAACAGAACATGTTGTTTTAAGTTAGGGAGAAGTTGTCCAAAGGTACTATGGTAAAAAAAATGTGAGTTTTCCTTTGGAGACACCTACGTGGACAGTTACGCAGAAGTAGAACAGAGAGAAGACTGGCATTTCATTTCTCCTGTGCAATATGTTAGGTCAGCTCTGTAACCTTGTCCATTGTTCACCTGTATGTAGCTTATCACACAGTAAAAACAATAACTTTTTTTCTCTCTATTCTACATCTTGGTGGCTCACAGATATAAAATGCCTCAGAGATGAACTTGCCTTTTCAGTAGTGGAGGGGAGACCTCTGACTCATGATGTTTTATTTCATCGAGTTGCAAGTGCTGACAATGTTGTAATGGCAGTCTGCTTGGCATCTAACGGGAAAACAGGATCACAGGAGGAGCGATGTTCAGAACTGGTATTATTGACTAACACCAACAGGAACTAAACAGTTTTTCGAAGTCAGAGGCAAAAGGGAAAAGAGACTTGGGGATGAACAGAACATTTAGGAAGGTTCCCAAATTAAATAGAGGGAGGGCTGATTTTTTTAAAAAAACTTATGTTCTTGCTTTGTGGCTGTCAGCACAAGTGGTATTCCTTCCCAAGGAAGGCAGAATGTTTCAAATAGCACTGGAAGTCCTCTCCTTGATTATTAATATACAGTCTCTGTAACAATGTTACGAACTTTTCTCTTGAATTTAAACAGCCAATTGCTAATATTATTGTGTCTTATTGGAAAATCAGCACTTTCTACAGCACTTCTCTGCTGTTTTTGAAAATGAAAAATGTGAGATTTATTAAACAAGTCTACATCAAAGACATGGCCCTTAGCAACAGGAAGGAATGAGCTCGAACCTGCCTGTAGGTTGTTTTTCGTTCTTAATCATCCTGAATATCCTGAGAAGAATCTGTCCCCTTTTAAGTGTTTGGGAGACTTCATTTGACCTGTTTTGTCCATCTATGAGAGCAGTTTTGTTGTTCTTGTCCCACAGACAGTTCCTTTCACTTCCAGTTTTACCATCTTATCCATTAAGTCTATAGGGAGCACATAAAACACTGTTCAAGACTCTCACTGTTTCTCCACTCCCCTTAATAGAAGGAACTGTAGAAGCACTGATGCAGCGATGCAGAGAACACTCCCTTCTCCCATAGTATGCATGAAAGAATGTGACCAATGGACAAGAAAATACAGCTAATTCCGTCAGCTATAATAACCAGCTTTCCGCAAGGTAAAGAACCAGCCTTGTATCTGCCCCATGTCAATGGTGTTAGGTTACTCATTAGCCTTTTACACACAAGGTAGTGGTATCTAGGTGAATATTTGGAGGTGTTTCCCTTTCATACACACTCATCTGGAAAAAGACAACTTTGTTAACTTCTTAAATTTGAAAAGAAGTCTTTTTAAAAAAAAAATTCATGATGCTGTTTTGAAATCTAGCAGTAGTTCTGAGTGAGCGGTTGAGACTTTTGAGTAGGTACCCGAACATACTAGGAAAGTGAAGTCAGTGTGATGGTTTCAACAGATGAGACAAACTCCAGATCATAAAAAATATTCATGTCCCATTTCATGGGGTATATTCTTTTAAAAAAAATTCTTTATAAGGGGTACTTGAGAATAATTGTAAGAGAGGTTGGATGGTGTGAACTTAGAGTAGATTTCAGAAAGTTAGATCTCAGTGAAGGAATGCAGCGTTTTTTTGAATTGAATGTTTTTCCGTGAGCTATATTCTTTATGGTGAAGTTAGTAATTATGTTGTGTATCTACAAATTGCAATCCGATTTCCTCTTTAAAAGATCTTAGCATAATGTACAAGTAGTGATATTTAGAGTGGCAGGTTTTTTTAATGTTTATAATATTTCTTCAAATCTTTTTGAGTTAAAAAAAGTGTTTGCAGGAGAGAAAATGGTTCTGTGAAGTACCAAAAAAAAAGTTAAATAGGTTAAGCCCCCTGTCTTCTCAGAACTTTAAATGGGCAAAACCTGAATGTTAAGTATAAAAAAAATAAAATCTAACGTGCAAATTCTAGAGGGAAAGGAGCTTTCAGCTGAAGAAAGTTATTTAGCTCTTTGTGCGAAGTAATTTGTAAAGTTTCTTTTAGTACAGGTTTTCAATTTATGTTATTTTGCATTGTGCTGCATTTATTTAAAAACAAACCCAAAAACTGGCTCACTTTAAAATATTGAGAGGTGAAAATGTCCAAATTGTTCAAATTTATTTCTTATTTCTCCCTCTGTACTTTCAGATTTTCTTTTTAAGTATTGGGTAGGATACTTCCACATTAATTCCTCTATCTCATCATAAATTCCCTAATCTGTACCATAATTGGGTTAAATATTGCCAAAATGCCTTCCAGGATGTTAAAATACATTTTAGAATATGTGTCATCTTCAGGGCGGAAAAAATAGTGCTCTGAGTAGAATTCTTGTAAAGTGAAAACAAAAACTTACTGGGAGTTAACTAGCTTAGCCAAAGCTCTAAAACAGAGTATTGTTCTACATTTGTTTTAAACATAGCACTTGCTGTTTAGGAAAAGACAAGTTATGCAGTGAGGTTGTCTTTAATGTTGTTTCCACATGTCCACCTTGTTTAATAGACTTACTATCTAGAGCATCTGGAATAGGTCACTTTGAATGTCTGCAAGAAGAAATTGACACCTCTCCACAAATTTATTACAAATAACTATAGATTTTTAAAATTTTTTTATAACCTTTCCTAGTAACTTCAGAAGTGTTCCCACTGTCATCTGCTTGTTTGTCAAAGCTTATTAATCCACAAAAACATTGTCTGCTGAAAGTGGCTCAAAAGTATGTGGCAGGTGGGAGAGGAAGTCTCCAGATTACTTGCCTGTGTTTTCTCTGGAGACACCTAGGTTTGTCTTGTTCTTTTCCCCTGACCTCCCAGTGTGATGTTTCTGTCCCTAAGATAATAAATCACCTAGAAATTGTGTGGATCCAAATTTGGTTGGAGTAAAGGTTCACGTCAACAGGGTGGAGGAAAGGGGCTTCCAGTCCACATTTCAGAAACATTTGTTTCATCTGGGAATGAATACCATGAGCTTTGAAGGCATATTTAGAAAGGTGGATGTCTTCACTATTGTGAACAGCCTTATATTTTCTTTCAGGTAATGTTTTACATAGTATTTTCATGGTAGTTTTTTTCTTAAGGGAATTGAATTGCTCTAAAAACAAAAATCAACTTCAGATATTGCCTCTCTATTGGGGAAAAAAAAAAAACAACACCAAAACCAAAACAAACCAACAAATGTTTTAAAAAAAATCATGCAGTTCTCAGTCAACACAAAATAGAGGATATCTCTCTGCAGTCACCTTTACCAATATATGTTTCTCAGTGCTTATTCAAACTTGTGCACAAAACTGTGTGCATGCTTAATTGGAAATTTTAATCTTTAAATCCATGGCATGAGAAGTAGCTTTTTCTGTAGGAGCTTTGTTCCATAGATGTCTGTGGAGCTTGCTTCGGTTCAGTACGTAGTGAAGACAATTTAAACCATGATTGTCCTATAATTCCGGTTACAGGTGACCTGCATATGTTAATTATAATCTTTGCAGAGCTTTTTATTTTATGTGCTGGTTCTCCCCTGATCTTTCCTAGCAGGAAAATAATTCTAACTTTTGTAGACCTTCACTCTTTTCAGGTCACTATATAAGAGATCAAGACTCTAAAACATCTTCTCTTACTGTTTTGATGTTACGTGGCTAAATTTATCTTCTTAGTTTCTTTTGCCATTAATGAATATATGCCCAAAGCGTTTTTACTTTGTTTGGTTTTCCCCTACCCACAACTCTTTAGGAATTGATCCCACTCATACTGTGTACAGCCTGCCTCCATCCTGAGCCCAAAGAGAGAGATCAGCTTCTACACATACTGTTCAATTTGATCAAACGACCAGATGATGAGCAAAGGTGTGTTTGCGTTTGTGTGTTGCGGGACAAGAAGGAACTTTTTTCTTTGTCAAAGAAGCAGAACTTGTAGAAACTGGATATTATTGAATTATTTTAACCAAGTTTCACTTAAGCTGATATTTTGCTGATATAGCGTTGACAAATTTATGTGGACTTCGGGACTTTTCATTTCCATGACCTGTACTTTCTAGTTACTGCAATGTAAGCATGTGCTTGGTAAGCTGCAGTGTAACGTTTCAGTTCCTTTTTTGTTTAAAGATGAACTGAAACATTTTGTTAAAATGAGCTTTAAGATCATAATTCTTAACAATGGTTGATATAGAAATCAAAACAGCTTTTTTAAACCTCTGTCTTAGTGTATCTTAGTGATCTATATGTTTCTAAGTTAACGGCCATGTTTAGTTGGGGAAAATAGCATAAGAAAATAGTACTCTTCCTACTTATGGTTCAGTACTATGGTAGCAATAAAAAAATTCAGAAGGCTGAAGCAGTGATTTAGTTTTGCAAGTGTTAAGAGTTTTGTTTTATTTTAGTTAAGACTTTGAAACAAAGTATACTTTTAATTTTGTTTTATAAATTTAGTTCTTAGATTTCCTGAGTACTGACTTTGTTTGTACCGGTCTTGATAAGAATATCCTTAAGGTTGAAAGACAGTACCCTAGCTGGTATGTTTCTTTCTCTAACTGTGGAAAGATCTCTCATATTTGATCTGTAGCTCTTCCGTTATTTTCATTGGAGATGTTTTGTAAAGCATCTATATCTATTGTTACTCTGTTCTGTCTTCAGAGAAAATGAAATAGGTGGGAAGCATTTCTTTTGAAGATTCTCTGAAACTGAAGTGTTCTGGTGTCTTTTTAAATAGTTCCCACTGTAAAATTTAGAGATGAGGTACAATTGGAAGACATGGATTTGGAGACAAAAAAATGTGTAAATAAATAAAAGCAACTTTTAGCACAGTGACACCATGCAGACTGAAATTCCGAAAAGATGCAGTCCTTGTTCTACTCCAGATTCATTAGAAATCTGCTTTTGAAACGTCTACCATTATCTAAAATATCTAGAATGTCCCATGCAGATTGAGAAGCCAAAATTATTTTGTGGTTGAGAGGAGAAGGAAGTTAACATCTCGCTTGTAGTCTTTTGTAGTTAATTTGTCACAGGATTGGTGGCCTATCAGGTAGATTTTTCATATGCCTGTTTGGCTGCGGTTACATGTGTCTTTTCCAGCAGCTACAAAAGAAGAAAATTCAAGCTTCTTTTTCCTTGAAGTTGGTCATTTTTTGTTGTGAGTTAGAGACTTATATCTAAAAATAACTCATTTTCATCAGAAATTTGGGAAGAATATTGTGCCATAACCTCCAGGACAAAACATGTATATGCATAATGTACGTTTACACACATAGAAATCATAATCTGTTTTAAAGGTGCCATAACACCTGACTGAAGGATAAGTAAAATTCCATTAAATAAAAGAGATTTTGAATACAAATTAGATAGAAAATACTTATTCAGAATTTCAGTCTTTTTTTTATACTTAAGTATTTGTATGGAAGTGTATTATGCGTGCTTGGTTTTTTACCCAAATAAGTTTAAATAATATTTTAGCAGTCTTGTGCAATATGAAGTAAGCAAAGACGTTCAGGTTTAGTCACCAGAACAATGGTATTAATTATCTCATGTTATTTGTTTACCTTCTGCTGTACTGTACAGGCCTACATTATACATTAAAGTAGCAGTTGGCAACAAGTTGACTTTTTAGTTTGTTAAATACAAGAGACTGAAATGTGACATTGCATTTCTGTTAATGAACCCATTAAAATAAGTATTTTACTTGAAATATTTGATGTTGTAAAGTAAGTTAACAGTTATGTGGAAAGTCTGTATTATACTTCTTGCCCATGTGAGAGGATTTTTGGTGCGTGCAGATATAACATATTGCCATGGTCTTGTATACTAACATTGTATTTAACAAGGCCACTTTTATCCACAAGGCTTTGCTCATTAATGTACTACTCAACTTTTCAAAATGTCTATCAAATTCTCTTCTGTAAAGGAACAAACAAGTGTTAGCTTTACTTAAACTTCTTTTTGGACAATTGTGTTGGTTCTGGAAGCTAAGGAGCCATGAAAAAGTCAGATTAATGTTGGGGGCTTCTAGGATAAGGTTAAAACAGTTCAAAATGTGAATTCTTGAAGATTTTCAAGTAATGTACCCAAAAGCAGCAGTCTTAATGAAAAGAAGCTAAAATACATTAAGCTCAGTGTATCTAATAGAACTTTTCATCGGTCATATGATACCACCTCTTACCAAAACACATGTGACTTGCTGACATATTAAGGAAAACTCTAGTAAGTGTTTTTAATATAAACTTTTGGAGTGACAACAGAACCTTGAACTGTGTAATGTAAGATTGCATTGCTTACCAGTGCATGCAGTCACTTTCTAAAACCTCTAGGAAGAGTTTAGAAGTGTTAAATTATGTCTGTTCTACTCTAACTTCTGTCTTGTTCCTCTAGTCAGACTCTTGATTTCAATTTGGTTTCTGTACTGATGAAACAAACTAGTGCTCTGCTGAATCGTACTGATTTGCTTTATGTTCCTGCCTAAATGACCATAAGCACATAAGCTGGAGAGAGCTCTTTGAGGAAAGCATTCGTAGCATCTGGTTAACAAAAGAGATCATTATGACAATAGGTAGAAAGAAGTTTTTCCCATATCCAGCCTAGACTGCAATTTTTGCAACAACTTAGTGTTAACATTTTCTGTTTCACTGACTTGTTGAGATCCTTACAACCTCTCCTTCCCCTGAAATACCCACTGCTGTCATATACTTTTAAGATGGTTACAATAAAATATTTAAAACTTTAAGATATTGCAAAAATATTAAAAAATAAAGTTCCCTACTTTCTAGGCAAAGCAAAAGGAAATCTGAGTTTATTTTGAGATTTCATTGAACATGAGAAGCTTTGATTTAAAAAAAAAATTCATATATTTTGGTTTTCCTCATTTCAAGTGCAGAAGATTTCAAGTGATTACTGTATTCTGCTATTTGCTTTTTTAATATCTTATAAAAGTATATTCTGTTGCCCAGGTCTGTGATTAGTTGCAGTGTGTAGAACCAAAGACAGGCATTTGAATAACTATTTTGCTTGTTGTAGAACTCAGAATTACCACAGGCTTTTGTCTCCATATTGCTGTCACATATCAGCTGTTGATTTCTCGAGTCTTATCTAATCCTTGTGGTTTTGTTTTTCCCCAACCTTTTTACCTTGATCAAAGGTCTAGTTCTCTGTACGTGGTAGAGAGGGGAAGAAAAAACCAAAACCCATAACACAAATCCAAAGAACTTGCTCTGATTGTTGGCCTAAAGAAAGCCGAGGGAAAAAAATTCTCTTTAATAGACTATTTCTCCTTGAAAAGATTCTGAAAGTGAATGAGTCTTTTTTTTTTTGATGGAGTATGTTGTATAACTGGTTAAGAAATAACCAGCAGAATATCTGCATTTCAACCTTAAGGATGTACTGTTAGCTGCAGTAAATATTTAGGAGTTTAGACATGACACTAAAACAGTGTCAAATTAATTTTGTGGCTTACTTTCCACAAAGTAATAATGAATAAATTCCCAGTGGTGTCCTAGTTTTACTGTGGAGGTGATGAAATGACTGTCTCATGTCCACGTGTTATTGTTTGAAACTGGTTATTTATGTGTTGATGTAGACACTAAAAGTAAATAGAACTGGTGAATTGCATGCAAAGTTGATATCGTTGCAATCTTATTTACAGGAGAAACAGAACTAAAAAAATCATAGCAAGATAAACACTCATTAAATAAAAGTTAAAATATCACGAATGACAGTTAAGTACAATTTTATTGAAATTGTAGATATATCTCTGACTGTGAAATTGATGAACAACAGTGATTTCTTGCAAAGTTTGAGGAAAGTAAAATAATGCAAGAATATGGCTTAAGTGATTGTAGATACTACTGATTGATTAATTGCTTCCCTTTTATAAAGGGCTTTGGAAGATTGATGGCAAGAATAAAGTCCAGTATTTTGGGAGAGGTGACAGTAACTTGCATGCTAGAATGCTGCAAAACCATATCATAAAAGAATTAAGTTACTTGTTTTGATTGAAGTTCATTAGATCTCACAAGTGCTTCTCTAAGCACTCAACTAAAATACTGGTAGTGTGATAATATAAAGTAATTTAGGTCCTTTTACTGCATGATGAATCATAGTATTCGGTAATAAGTATTAAATGGGAGATTTAGAGATTCCCAATCTCAGACATGAGGAAATCAGAGATTCCCAGGCTCTGGTTCATGGAGTTTGGGATCTGCAAGTTTCTGGAAAAGGCATATTAAATAGAAAACAAGATAGAATCATAGAATAGTTTGGATTGGAAGCAAACTTTGAAGGTCACCTAGTCCAGCCCCACCCTGCAATGAGAAGGGGTAATAGTGGCTTTCAATTTAAGATTTAGCCGTTTAAGTCAGTGTGTGTGGTGTGAAATTTTGACTGTAGACAATTACTTGTTGCTTGACAGCTTCTGCTTTTTCTAACTTAAAGAATATATTCTATATATTATAAACTTTACTTTATAAACCGATTAAAGCTTTACATTTATTTTTTCAGACAAATGATACTGACTGGGTGTGTGGCATTTGCCCGACACGTTGGACCAACACGTGTAGAAGCTGAGCTTTTACCACAGTGTTGGGAACAGGTACCTGATTATTTTGTTCTTTACACTGGAAAATTAGTTAAAAATTCTTAAATGTTATTTGTTTGAGGGGGAAGTTGGTTTGGTTTTTTTTTTTCAATGAATGGCAGTTCAAAGTATTTTTCAGGAACATATTTGGATGTTATCTGTCCTCATTGTATATGCTTTTATATAACATTAAAAAGAACTTGGAAGCAGAAAATTAGTCAAAGACTATCTGGAGATTCTAGTTACCTGCATACACCTGCATATGTTTGTTGTATTGAAATGTAGATATGCACATGTTCATCATCAGTGTTGCTTAACCTATTGCCAAGTAGGTACCTTTATAATTTGTACTGTAATGTCCAGATTGTTGGAAATCCATTTTCATTGAAAGATTTCATTCGCTGATTTTTATATTGTATTAATTCCCTGGAGCAGTGTCTACACTTCAGCTAGTTTAAATTCTTAAACAGAAAATTAAAGATCAAAGTAGTCAGAAATAAATCCCCTGTAGATGGGCATGATTTTACACTTGTAAGATAAGCCTGAAGTTTACATGTGACTTCTGGAATCACAGTGACCTTTTTCAAGACATATTCTAACTTCATTGAAATAACACCACTTCAGTTTGGTTGTTCAGTTATTGTTTCATCTGAGGCATAGAAACAGAACAACATGAGTTCAGGTGAAAGTGCATGGTATTTTCCTACCATAATAAAGAAAAGGGAGTTTGTCATTACCTAAAAGACAGTGAATGACTAAGCCATGACAGAGTAGTAATGCTTACTTTCATGGCACAGTGTTTCTGGTCTGATAATTGTCTGCTCTTTCTTACATAACACAGCCATCTGTGTTTCACAATAAAGTCCAAGCTTTAATAATCTTAATGCCTTCTGACAGTAGAAGTACATCTTACATGCAGCATTTTTGCTTATATGTATGATTGATGTGTCTATGGATTAAATGAAAGACTCGTGGCAATTGTAGCTTAACGTAAAATAAACCACATTTTGTTTTCTTAGTCATTCTCATGAAATTTAAACTGTTTTTTTTAAACACAAACAGTCTCACCTCAGTAAGAGCGCATCTTCATCAAACCAATTGCTTGCTAATTGCTGGTGCAAAAGAGAAAGAAGTCCAACTGTAACAGTACAGCGTATCAGGCTGCCAACCCATATGTCGTCATGCGTTTCTTTAATGCAGTTTGCCAGACTTTCTTTGCAGTACTGAAACCAGGTCGTTATTTTCTCTGGCAAAATACCAGCTGAATCTCATTGTCACAAGACTGAGTTTGTAGAAGGAACTAAAAAATACACATAATTTTCTACCTTTTCTCAGTAGATGCTTTAATCATGAAAGTATTCATGCAGTTGGTCTCCAACCAAAATCTGTTTACAGATGCAAAGGACTGGGCCCTCAGAAGGTTCAGCATTTTACACGTTCTGGAGCTCAGAGTTATCAGGCTTGTCTTTGTGATCTTTTTACCTGCTCTCATCTGAGTTTAGGTGAAGGCTCTGTGAATGCTAAAAGTTCTCTCAGAACTAGTGACCAATTAATTGACTTCCAAAATTGTGCTACTGCTTATAATGGTAAAAAAAACACTTTAGAGTTATGTTTAAGTTTCCAAGGGCTAATAGTCTTCCCTGAACACAAACCTTGCGGAAATTGAGTCTTTTTTCCTCCAGTATGTCAGTATGTCTTTGCAGTACCAGGAGTTATAAATATGCTGCCTTGCCAGTCCACCTAAACGAGTTGAAACTAGTCTCTGGTGTTTCCCTCAGGTAGGCAGAGCTCCAGAATGCAAAGTGTATCTCTCTTAGCAGTAGGGAATTTGCATTTGGAAAGATGGCACATAAGTCAAAGGTACTATAGGTATTAAAGCAGCCTGTTGCGTGCCCATAATGTTTCTCATCTATGAAATCTCCATATTTCCAAAAAATATTACAGGTGCCTACTGATGAATGAATGCAAAATAATGACAGACGCATTCAAAGAACATTCTGCCATGCTTGAGACTTCAGTTTAGTCCTGAGACTCATGATTTGTTCATTTGATTCTCTTTCAAATGATCTTTGCCACACTTCATTCTTGAGAGAGTTCTTGGTGATTTCAGATCAGAACAGTGAGAAAGTTGAAGACATTAACACTACATCAGTGGTTAGGTACCATTGTTCAGTGTGCTGTGGAAATAAAGTTGAGGTAAGAAGTTGTCAAAAGTTGATTTATTACTATGTCTTCATGTGTAGTTTCTCCTAAGCCAGTAGAATTGAGAGGATCACAGAATAGCTGAGTTTGGAAGGGACCTTTGAACATCTTGTAGTCCAAGCGCCCTGTTGAAAACAGAGTCAACTAGAATAGATTGCTCAAGACCAAGACCAGTCTGATTTTGAATATGTCAGGTGACGGAGGCTCCATAATATCTCTAGGCAACATGTTTCAAGGTTTGGCCACCCTCCCAGTAAAACAGAATTTCCTGTATTTCATTTCCTCTTGTCCTTTCATTGGGCAGCTCTGTGTTCTTTACCTTCTGCAAATAGGTACAGATATTTATAAATATGAATAAGATTCTTCCTGAGCTCTCTCCTCAAGACCAAACAATCCCAGCTCTCTCAGCCTCCCCCCATATATCACATGCACCTATCTCTTAATCATTTTTATGTCTCTTCGCTGGACTTATTCCAATATATCTTTGTCTCTGTAGCTGGGGACACCCAGAACTGTACACAGCACTCCAGATGTGGTCTTACCAGTGCTGAGTAAAGAGGGATAACCACTTTCCTCACCTGCTGGTGATGCTTATCCTAGTGCTGCCCAGCATACCATTGGTCTTCCTTGCTGGAAGCAGTGCATTACTGGGTCTGCTTGGTATCTGTCAGACCTTCCAGGTCCTTCTCTGCTAAAGTGCTTTCCAGCCAGTTGGCCCTCAGTCTGTCCCGGTGCATGGGAATTATTTCTGCTCAGGTTCAGGACTTTGTACTTCCTTGAACTTCGTAAGAGTCCTGTCTGCCCGTTTCTCCAGCCTGTTGAGGTGCCTCTGAATCGCAGTACACCCATCTGGATATATCAACTATTCCTTCCAGTTTTGTGTCATTTGCATACGTGTTCAGGTGCATTCTGTCTTGTCATCCAGGTCGTTAATGAAGATGTTACATGTCTTCATTGTTGGCTGCAGAATCAACAGACTGCCCCCCTGCTGCAACTCTGAGCCTGTGATTAGTTCAGCCAGTTTTCTGTCCACCTCACTGTCCTTACCTAGCCCAGACTTCATCAGTTTGTGAATGAGGATGTTATGGGAAACAGTATCAAAAGTCTTGCCAAAGTAAAGATAAACAATATTCGCTCCTCTCCCCTTGTTCACTGAGCCAGTCATCTCAGAAAGCTATCAGGTTGGTCATGCATGTTTTTTCCTATGTAAATACATGCTGACTATTCCCAACCACCTTCTTGTCCTTCACGTGCTTGGAAATGCTTTCCGGGATTAACTGCTCCAAGAACTAATGTGAGGCAGACTGGCCTGTGTTTCACTGGATCCTCTGTTTTGCCCTTCCTGAAGACAGCAGTGACATTTGCTTTTTTCTAGTTCTCAGGAACCTCCCCCCTTGCCACAACACTTCTTTGATTGTCAAGAGTGGTCTTGCAATGACATCAGCCAGCTCCCTCTGCACTCGTGGGTGCATTGCCATTGTGGCCCACAGACTAGTGTATGTCCAATTTGTTTAAATGTTTCCTAACCTGATAATTCTCTACCAAAAGTAAGTCTTCCTTGCTCCAGACTTTTGTATGGGTTTTAGGGACCTTGGACTACTGAAGGCAAGTATTCCTGGTAAAGACCAAGACACAGAAGGCAGTGAGTATCTTGGTCTTTTCTGTGATAAGATGGTTGTCTTACCAAGGCTATACACTGTGAAGCAAGAGAGAAAGAAATAGTCGCACCACATGCATGTGCTATTTTATCTGACAGGATCAACCTACTCACATTTCCCTCTCACCATTTTACTCTAAAATTTTTTATTCACAAAATATATTGAAACATCACGTTTCATTGTACAACCATTACACTGGTATTAAAGCTGACTCCACCAGGATGCAAATTAGATTCCGAAATGTCAGTATTAAATTTGTGAGGCAGAATTTTCGAATGGCCTTTGAGTGGAAAGGAGAGGCAGCACAGGATCAAGAGGTTCTTGGGAACAGGAACTGTTTTCAGTCACATTTTAGAGGCATGACATGTTTATGCTGGACTTGAGAGCAGAAATTTGATAGCATGCAAGTACTTTTTGGCTTAGTATGTGTATCTTCTTTTGACCCCGGTAGCTCAGGAAGACCTAGACAGCTGTGCTACACTGGTTGGCTCAGAGCACTAGAGGGCACTTGTGTAGTTCTTAGAGACAACGCTCCTGAAGGGCTACAGGAGAGAAAATATTTCATGACATGCTGGCTCAGAAGTTACTCATATTCTTTGGAGATACGCTGCTTTCCACTCTTCTTTCTTTTTTTTTTTTTTCTGCATATACATATATGCTTCTCTGATCCTTCTCATACTATAAGCTCTATTTTATAGGACAACTAGAGAAGACTGTATCTGCCTTGCCTTTATGCCTCAGTGCAAGAATTTGAGGCTGCTTAGTATCCATATGCAACTTCTATGGGCACAGTCAATGTTTATCTAAGAGGTGCAGACATATCCCTCTGTTGCAGTTTATTCTAACCACATTTTGAATACTGGTTACTGTAAAGCAAATAGCCATTCTGTTTCTCTTTACCAGATCAACCACAAATACCCAGAGAGACGGCTACTGGTAGCAGAATCCTGTGGAGCTCTAGCACCTTACCTTCCAGTAAGCATTAATACCGACTCTAAATACTTTGCTAGTAAAAGCAAGGTGAAAATCTGTTGCATAATGTAAACATCCTTTATAATTTCAAATATTCCCAAGTGTGCATGTTATGCATAGGCAGTCACGTTGTCTTCTACTTTATATCACATGTGCAAGATTCAGTAAATCACATTAAGGAGGAGATAGCTTATTATAAAGGAATACGGGTCAATCTAGCTATAAAATGTCTTTAAAAACAGTATGTTCTGAAAAAATCATCTTTTTTTCAGTAAAGATGAAGTAAAGCTAGTTAGGACAAATTAAGGAAATAATCTTTGAAAAAATAATTGGCACCCAATAATAGACTTCTTCAGACACTCTGGAATGTTACATGAAGAGTGCTGCCAGTCAGAAGAAGCAGCAAAATTAAGTCAGTGGCAAACTAGAATTTGAAGCTTCAGAGAAAGAGGAAAATAACCAAAATTAAAAACCTACTTCTCCAATTTAGCAATGCACTGATTAAAGATTCTGTTTTAAATCTAGACCTATAGTAGTTTGTTGCTCTTAGTTATTTTTGGTTCCATATGAATTAAAGGAACTAAGTTCTGTGCGTAGTAGGACAAAAGGCTCTCTAATGAGGCTACTGACATTTTATATTCATTCATCTGTTGTGAAAACTGAATGTGTAATATTTATAAAAGGATCTATGGTTGGAGGAAGGGATTTTGTTTGTGAGCACTAATAGAAGTGCGGATTATTTATAAAAATTGATACAAACATGCATTTCTTGTTTCATTGGATTTAACAAGTATGTTTCTTGTTTACAAACAGAAAGAAATTCGTAGTTCGTTAGTGCTTTCCATGCTGCAGCAAATGCTAATGGAAGATAAGGCAGATCTGGTACGAGAAGCTGTGATCAAAAGCCTTGGCATCATTATGGGATATATTGATGATCCAGACAAATATCAACAGGTATAATTTGGTTTGTGTTCTGTATGTATAAAATGTCTTCTGTAGTTATTTCATGAAGAGAGTGATGCATAATTTCATGTATTTTTATTAAATCTTTTCACATACTATAAAAAATTTTGATGGTTTATATGGATATAGATTTTATTGTATTACCAAGACCAAAAAGAAAACAAATACTTAAAAGTCTCATTAAAACCTCGGATATAAGCCTTATACAGGAGGTTCTCGAAATTCATAATTTGCCTTCAAGAACATAGCACTTCACTGCCCACCTGATACTATTAGCCAATTGGATAATATCACTTGCTAACAGATTTGTCTACTACAACAAAGCCTACTTGTAGATCAACTTAATACTGCCTAATAATGTTTCGGATAAGTGAAAATGAAGAACTTCTAATTCTGTCTTTGAGTTTTTGAAGGCAGAGTGGTAAAATGTGTTTGTATTCATTCTGATAACACGGCTGTAGAGAAATACTAGCGAGATCTTTGAACCACCTACTGTTTACTTTTGTAGGTGGGAATATCTGTTGAAAGGCCTTTGTGTACCACCTTGTTTTATTTTTATTAGTGTAAAGTTTTAAAACTAGATGATAATTTTTTCTGTTCCACACATTTTGCATGGGAAACTTTAACATAAAATTTAGGAAAATAATTACATTATTTATTATCTTTTCCTAGGGCTTTGAACTGCTGCTTTCAGCTTTAGGAGATCCTTCAGAACGTGTAGTTAGTGCAACACATCAGGTATTTTTACCTGCCTACGCTGCCTGGACAACAGAACTGGGAAATTTACAGTTCCATCTTATACCTACACTGCTTAATAAAATTGAAAAATTGCTCAGGGTATGTGTTCAGCTGTTTCTACATTGGATAATTTTCTTTGTATCTTTATTTCATATGCAGGCTTTTTTAAAAATGCAAAAGAAGTAAATTACTACTTAATGTTCTATGAGGGAAAAATTTTCTGGAGATTCCTGTTGTAACACCATAATTTATACTTGTCCTTTGAAAGAAGGAAAAAAAAAAACAGCACCAAAACCCAAACATGTTCTTTAACAGTGTTTTGCTTTATAGCCCAATAATCAAAATGCAGTTCAGAAAACGCTTGCTTGGGGCTGTGACCAGACGATGTGCATTATCCCGAGTGCATTTGCCATATACTGAAATAGTTTTTAAATGTCACATAGTGTAGTTTTTAACAAAATGCAGTATTTATTAAATAAATTAAAAAAAGTAGAATTGAATGTTTTAGGTTGTTTGCGATTATGAGCTAGTTTGTCTTCATGCTTGATTTGTTAGATATCTAGAAAGTTCTGGAAAACAGGGTCTCATAACGATCTAACACACTTAACCAGGATACTTGTTCTCAGAGTACAGGCAACTGGTTTATTCAGTTTTTAGATGCATTGGTCTCTGAGACCAAGGATTCGCATTTCAAAACTGTGCTGAAAAATGTTCTTTCAGAACATCAATATGTTCATCAAGACGAACTACTAAATGCCAAAGGCTATATTACTTGAATCTTTTGAGTAGGAGTGACTTAAGGGTGACGCAAAGTAAGCTTGTGGTTAGGATAAATTACTATATAATTAGTGTCTCTATGTAGAAGCTCATCACAGATGTGTTGATCTCTTGCCAGGGAATACATGCCTAAGCAACAGATCATCCAAACGGGAAACTTTAAGTAAATGTCCTGTTTGTTTCAGGAAGGAGAACATGGCTTGGATGAACATAAGCTCCACATGTATCTGTCTGCTCTGCAGTCATTGATTCCTTCACTGTTTGCACTGGTGCTACAGAATGCGCCTTTCACAAGCAAGGCTAAACTTCAGGGAGAAGTACCACAAATAGAAGGTGAATGATTAATTTCCGATATGTGGAATTTTTATAAACTTAAGTATAAATCAGTGACAAATCTCAAATCACGATGAACTGCAAAGGAAGAATTTCAGGAAATGGTCTGTAGTCTACATTTACTTGGGATTTATCTGTACTTAAGGTTACTACATAAATGTAAGTTGCAGAATCTGTGTGTAAACTTTAGATTTTTATAGCACACTATCTGTACAATAATGATTTACGTTTATGTGCCCAAGCCTTTTTTTCTAATTCACCTGTTCTTTATCCTGTATTTTCATATGTAGCAAGTATAGAGAAAGAAATTCAAGGAACCTCTGTCATGTTGTGAGTTTGTTTCTTTAATGTTGCTGAGTTGACAGAAAGTTGTGGGATTTGTTTGTTGTTTTTTTTTTTTTCTTCTTTTTCTAAAGGCAGATTCCCACATAGGAAGATTTGTCTTGACTTGTCATGACTTTTTTCTTTGTTCTGTTTTGCCTTTTTGGAAAACATCTTTCTCCTTCCTTTCCTCCTTCTGCTCCTACTTCATTCCTGTGAAAGAAATCAGTCTGACATGAACCCATATCAGATACTTAACTAATATACAAATATCAGCTTATTGATGCAGAAGAAATATGTAAGTCATGAATATTTATGAAATGATTGTCAGCAGAATAAAGGAGAACTAAATGGTATCCTTCTGGATTTTTTTTCCTGTATTTACTTAGCAGTGTTACAGGCAAAACAGCTTCTTTGTGCCCTGCGACATAGCTTTATGTAATCCAATGAGAGTCTTGTTGTGATACACAACATAAATTGTGAAAAAAATAGTTTTGCCTTCTAATTTGCCTCTTAAATGTTTTTTCATATTGGTCTCCATTAGCAAATCAGTAAATGCTTCCTTTTTCCACCCATTTCTATGCTTGAGAGACCTGATGATCACAAAAAAAAAGTTTTTATTTCATCGCTCATTATTTCTCTCTATTTCTTAAAAGAAGTTTTTGAGAAATCAAAGCAACCCTTAACTGGACTTCCTAAAGGTTTGTGAAGAATTGATTTCCACTAATAGCCAATAATAGCTCAAGAAGGCTGGCCTCATTTTCAGTTAATTCTTACAAATGAAAAATTCTATGAAGTGGGAAAAATACAAGCCTAGTGCAGGAACTTCACTATCTGTTATGTATCTACGTAGTATCTTACCAGACTGAATGGCCTTATAGTAAAGGTATACTTAGGTCAGCAATCCTAGCCTGTAGAATGTTTTCTCCTGTTACAAATACTTTTAAAAGATATTATTGGTAACATCTGCCACATGGGGATAATAGCCCTGTATGTGAAGATGCGAAGAAAGGGTAACAACTTTAAAGGAGAATTTGGAAAGTAGCTAGTAGTACGTTACTGTACAATATTCACGTAAAAAATGTTAAACATGGCATGGTAAAATTAGTTCAGCTGACTTGAGTCATTTGGAGATGAGCACTTTTCCCCTTAGTGGCTACTACTTAAATAAGGAATTAAAAAATTTCAGGTTTCGGCCTAGTCTGACAGTTTCTTCCTCCACAGAAGTGGAGGAAAAAAATCTCGTGTACTTTCACTAATCCAGTAGCATTGCGGGAACTGAAAACTTGCATTCTTGAATTTTGTAGTAGGAAAGACGATGTTCTTGTTGCTGAACTTCATTGCTGAATAATTTTAAGTATGCTGGACATGAATTGAGAATAATAAAACCAATGTTGCTGTAGCAGGCTTTCAGTCCCCACATATTTTAATGGTCTAGAATTTATTTTTTTTGAGGTCTTGCTTTTTATGTGTAAATTATCCTTTTCTGATAATTCAAATAATTAAGGAATTGGGGGAGAGAGTGAGGAGTGTCAAAAATTACTTCATATATAAAGGTTGGAGCAGTTAGATGATTAAAGTGTAGTGATAGAAGTCGGGAAACCTTGCCTGCAAGTCACTCTACTGTGAATCTGCAGTGTGTTCTTTGGGATCATAGAATGGTTTGGGTTGGAAAGGACCTTTAAAGGTCATCTAGTCCAACCTTCCTGCAATAAGCAGGGACATCTTCACCTAGATCAGATTGCTCAGAGCCCTGCCCAATCTGACTGTGAATGTTTCCAGGGATGGGGCATCTACCGCCTCTCTGGACAACTTGTGCCGGTGTTTCAACACCCTCATAGTAAAAAATTTTTTCCTTATATATAATCTGAATCTACCCTCTTTTAGTTTAAAACCATTACCCCTTGTCGTGTCACGACAGGACCTACTAAGAGTCTGTCCCCATCTTTCTTATAAGCCCCTTTTAAGTATTGAAAGGCTGCTTTAAGGTCTTCCCAGAGCCTTCACTTCTTCAGGCTGAACAACACCAACTCTTCAGCCTTTCCTCAATAGCAGAGGTGCTCCATCGTTTTTGTGGCCCTCCTCCGGACCTGCTCCAATAGGTCCATGTCTTTCTTGTACTGAGGACTCCAGAGCTGACTGCAGTACTCCAGTACTGTACAGAGTAGTACAGTAGTACACCAGAGCAGAGTAGAGGAGGAGAATCACCTCCCTCAACCTGCTGGTCACACTTCTTGTGATGCAGCCCAGGATGTGTTTGGCTTTCTGGGTTGTGAGCGCACATTGCCGTCTCATGTCCAGTTTTTCCATCCACCAGTACCCCTAAGTTCTTCTCTGCAGGGCTGCTCTCAATCCTTTCATCTCCCAGCCTGTGTTGATACTGGGGGTTGCCCCAACCCATGTGCAGGACCTTGCACTTGGCCTTGTTGAACCTTATGAGGTTCACATGAGCCCACTTCTTGCGCTTGTCCAGGTCCCTCTGGATGGCATCCCTTCCCTCCAGCATGTCAATTGCACCACACAGTTTAGTGTCATCTGTAAACTTGCTGAGGGTGCACTGGATCCCACTGATGAAGATGTTAAACAGCACTGGTCCCAGTACTGACCCCTGAGGGGCACCACTTGTCACTGATCTCCATCTGGACATTGAACCATTGTCCACTACTTTCTGTATGCAACCATCCAGCCAATTCCTCATCCACCGAAAAGACCATCCATCAAATCCCTATTTCTCCAATTTAGAGAAGGATGTTGTGGGGGACCATGTCAGAGGCCTTCTGGAAGTCCAGATAGGTGGCATCTGTAGCTCTTCTGTTGTAGTCACTTCATCATAGAAGGCCACTAGTTTGGTCAAGCAAGATTTGCCCTTGGTGAAGACATCCTGGCAATAATAATTCCATAATCTCCCTAAACTGGCGGTTTCTCTTTTTAACTGAGGGTTATGTAATCTCTTCAGAGATGGATTTAACTCACCGATTTTTAAAAAGCAATTTGATAACCTTACACAGAAGGCACTAAAGAGTTTCAGACTTTCTTAGCTATCTTTACTGATGTCACCTCCAAGGTATTTTCATCTTCTTTTACTCCTGATCGCTTGTTCTCCGCTGTTACAGTCACTAGATTTCCCCGACCCGTATCACCTCTTCAGGATGTGGCCATCATCATTGGAAGCCGTGAACAACTAGCAGTGTTATTGCAACTGTATGACTATCAGCTAGAACATGAGGGTACCACAGGCTGGGAGACTTTGCTATGGGTAGTCAATCAACTGTGAGTTAATTTGTATCTTATGATTCCTAATTTTAAAATGTGTCAAAATTAATAGTTCTTAAGCATGATTCTGTTTAACATTATTAAACATAAGAATTTTAAATACAATTATATTTAAGAATTGTTAAAGAGGAGGAGATTGAATTTTTTTAGGCATTTTAATTTTCATCCTGAATTGACTTCAGTTTTATTCAGAAAATATCAGCTATCTAGAAGAATGTGTAGGTAACTACTTGCTCCAAAAGTTTCTTTCATCTTTGCACCAGTATAGTCAATTCTCTGTTGAAGTGAAGATTGTTGTATTCTGAATATCTCATTAAATATACTGTTCTGCAGTGACATGTTTGAAAATATAGGTCAGACTTTTCTGGCACTTAAACCAGGAATTGTACAGAATGTGTAGATAATTTTATTAGAACCAATAGTGCTCTGTGTGTATATGTATATTTGTTAATATAAACAGTAAATGTATACAAATATAACTGGAGAGAAACAAAAGATCAGAGTAGTCTTTAATATCCTTTTGTTTCCTGATTTTTAGGCTACCACAGCTTATAGAAATAGTTGGCAAGATCAACGTAGCATCAACTGCCTGTGTCCATGAGTTCTCCAGATTTTTCTGGAGACTATGTAGGACATTTGGGAAAATTTTTACAAACACTAAGGTAAGATACTCCCTTAAATATTCTACTAAAATAGTACCTTGATAATATATATTCTTATTTACAGTGTGTCTGAGTACCCACAGTTTTTGTGACTCTTTATATATGCATGTTACACTGATGCTTTTCCATAAGTACATTTAAACCTATTTTTAAGCCTCTCCTTTTGATTTCTTTTTTTGACCATTTTGGAATGACCTTCTCACCCAACAAGGAAGGATTTTTATTTTTTTTTGAACTGTATTCTTCATATTTGCTTTCTGAATGGCATAGAGAGTGGGAGAGATCACCCTAATTCTAATGATTTTACAGTTTTCTTTCTTCAGAACAGCATAGTGTTCCGTGTTTGTGGCATACATAAGTATTTCAGCCTGTACTTGATTGGAAATTTAATTAATGCTTTCCCTGCCCAAAATATTTTCTAAAGATGATATTTAAACATTTTTATCAAGGAAGTATATAACTTTTCTCATTAAAATAACTTCTGAATATAATTCAAAAATATTTTAAAGGGAAATTATAAAACATGAGAGGATTACCTAAAGATAAAATTACAAAACAGGGTTAGCATTATGTGCTGCCTCCAGAGAGGAGATTAAAAGCAGTTTCTGGCCTGGTCTTTGAAAGCCCCTCCTGTAAGTTATCTTTAGAACCCTGGCTTCTATAAAACTGTTCTGATACTGATTTTCACAGCTATATTTTGGAAGAGACCACTTCATGGACAGCAAAGATATAAAACAAGAACTTCTTTTTTTTTTACATATAGCTTGGTAAAACTGTAAAGCCTAAAGCCCAACTAAGCATATTGCTAAGAGGCTTGAACTTTTGTTGTCAGGGGTGCTAAATGATGCTACTTTAGTAACTACTTCAGTGTGGGTGCTCAATAGAAATTTCTACTCTCATATGTGATACTTTCAATTTTTGTAAAAGCTGGCTATGCTTTTTAAAGTGTTTTTTTTTTCTTTCTGTACCTTCAAAATGCCCTTATTCTGTTGTGAGTAGTTTTTTATTCTTACTTTTTTCCTAAGTTAATTGGCACTGGTAACAGGTTTTCTTACATGGGATTCATCATCCTTTGTATAGGTAAAACCACAGTTCCAGGAAATCTTAAGATTGTCCGAGGAAAACATAGGTAAGCAGCTTCTTACTCAAATGAATAAAAATTAACCTTAACTGCAACTGGAAAAAATCTGTCAATCTCTTGTTCAAATATAATTTTCAGTCTGCAGTTCTCAAATTTTCTCATCATCCTGAAATGCTGAAAATCCCATCTTAATCTGAAAAGAACGCTCTGAAGTTGTAGATTGTGTGTGTAAAGTACAAATAAAATCTCAAATCCAAATACCACTTGAGTATTATTTTAGCATGTGTGTGCATGTATATATGCATACCTGTTTATATAAATTCGTATCTCTATAAAAAGATGACTGTATCTATAATACTTAAAATACATCTAAGTCTACTATATATATATATATATAAACACCATATAATATGTATATTACAAACACATATATATGCATATATGTGTTTATAAAACCTACATTCTTTCATTAGATTCCACAGCAGGTAACGGAGTGCTAACGAAAGCCACAGTTCCCATCTATGCAACAGGGGTCCTTACGTGTTATATTCAGGTAGGTTTGTTTTTCTGTGTCTCTATTAAATGTATAATAATATGTAAAACTTATTCTACCAAAACACCCTTACTGTTTTCTTTGAAAACTTACAGTGTTTTTGTGCTTTGAAGATAGGTGGATAAGTGGCCAGCTGTAAACACGTTTAAAAGCAAAGTTTTCTATTCAGGTTGTCCAGTACATTTAGATGATGTGCTGCCATGTGACTCTATCAAAAATATTAATCATAGAATCATTATGGTTGGAA